GCTATAAGCAATTGTTAGCAACAAGAGACAATAAGACTACACTACTATAGTGAACGCGCACCGAGTGTTAACAAGCGCGCTACGACGCGTCAATTAATCGCATACTCTTCTAAGGAATCTACCTCTTTACTAACGCGCCCTATAGGTCCCCCTTTTGCTCCTTTATTCTGTCGAGGCCTTGAGGCCTAGGTAATCTACGAGGACGGCGCGCGCGTAAATAGCGATAGTAATAATAACGACGGCGCGGCCGGCGCGGCTATATTAGTAACGGTGTTGCCGAGTGTATTATTAGTCGAAGAGGGAAATCGAAAGCAAGGTAAAGTTAGCGCTAAGACGACTAGCGCTGCTATTGTTAATATTACTTGCTGTTGTCGCTGCGCCTACAGACACAACCTTACCTGTACTACGAGCCTAAGGCACCCTTAATTAAAACTTTGATTAAAGCCTTAAGCCTGTTAAAGGTTTGATTAAAACTTTGAGGCTAAGTTAAAACTTTAACTAAGTTAAAAGATTGAGCGACTAATAGACTAACTAAGGGCAAAACTATAGAGCTAAGCTAGCTAGGGTCGATCTTGCGGACAATAGGTTACTCCTCGATCTTTCCGACCCTTTAAGCGAGGCGAACCTCTACTACTGCACTTATAATAGCCTTTACCTATAGAAACTAGAAGAACTGAGTTTTTTAAAAAGATATAATTAGTTGACACTTAAAGGCTGCCAAACCTAACCAATTTAGGCTAGCGAAACTACGATAGTAAATAATAGCCCTCGTAATAATAAGAACAACCCTCGGAACGGACAAACCCTCGGAGCGGACATTTCTAGGTCTGTTAGAGTAGACGCAAAGAACTCGTACGACATCACTCAGAACGGAGGCAGTGCTACAATACCTCGTACGTCTACCTGTTATAGCAGGGAAGACGCGCTCGTATTATAATTAGTCGATAGCCCTCAATTCTTATAGATATATATTACTTTATAGTTTATTGTATGTAGAGATAGCGCAGTTGGAGTTGGACATTGTATCGAAAGTAAGGTTTAATATAGTTACATAATTAGGTAGTTAAGTGTTTAATTTAGCGCGGCTAAGCAGCTTATTAGACTTGCTAAGTTAGCAGCAACGGAGGTCGAGGTTAGAACAAAGACCGGCTACGAGGGCGCGGCCTTTAGAAGGGAAGCGTATGTTAGGACTAAAGAGGTTACACGTAATTGGCATATAACCGGGCTCGAGTAAAGCTAGGGTCTCGATGCCTTAGATAGGGCTTAGCGCTTGGTAGTAGGCCAACTTGCCTGCCTTCCTCCCTCTCCTTCTAGCTCCTTATCGAATACTACTTGTACCCACTACCACCCTATCTACCTGCTGACATACCCTTCTCACACCCTCGTTCTTATACGAGTTATAGTCTAATCTTTAGCCCTATATAATACCGCAAGACCGCAATAAGGAAAGGCGTAATAAGGAGGTAGATATAGCCGTACGGGTATAGAAGACGGCGCGAAGGAACCTCTTACTAACTATTTAAATACTAGCTCTTCTAATATAGTAGTATATATAAATAATACTAGAGGGCATATAATCGGTATATCCGGACTCGAAGAAGGGCAAGCGCTTTACTTACGAGTTATTAGAAGCCGACGATTAGCGTATATATCGATACTATCGCTTTACTCTAAGTTAGTTTCTTAAGCTATATTAAATAATATATAAGAATAGCGAGACGACTATTTGCGGTAGAAAGGAGATACTAGTATTATCCGATAGCGCTAATATTAGTACCTTATAGAAGCTCCTTATATTCCTTAATATAGTAACGAAGGCGCGGCCTTATTAAGATATAGCTAAGGACTTCTATTACTTAACTTCGAAGATATCCGCTATTGTCTATAAAGTGCTAGAAGCGCTCTTACTACTATATAAGAAGTTAGTTAAACCGGCGAATAGCGACGAGTCGTAGGCGATAAAGCGTAGAGGTCCTAAATATTAGCCGTTCTTTAAGGACTACGTTAGCGCTCTCGATAGTACGAAAATACTAGCATTCGTAAGGGTTAAGGATTAATACTACTATTACGATTATAAGGGCGATATATCGTAGAATGTACTTACTATCGTTAACTTCGAGCGTTAGTTTATATTCGTTCTCGCTAGATAGGAGGGCTCTACTTACGATAGCGCCGTTCTTAATAATACTATCTCGAGATACGGATTCTACGCTCTAGAAGGGAAGTATTATCTTACTAACGCTAGTTATAGCAATACTAATATTACCTTAGTACTATTTCGAAGCGTAAGATATTACCTCTGTAAGTAGTATAAAGCCCTCGAGAAGCTATAGAATAAGTACGAGTTGTTTAACCTACGGCACTTATCTCTTCGTAACGTTGTCGAGCGGACCTTTAGCATACTTAAGCGGCGCTTTAAGATATTCTAAACGGCGGCGGAGTTCTCGTATTCTACGTAGGTTAAGATAGTATATATCTATATAGCGCTCTATAACTTCCTAACGGAAAGAGGTAGTCTATATTAAAAGAGAATGCTAGTATAAAGAGATCTAACGTACTACTTCGACGGTAGAGGCGAGAGCGTAGATAGGTTTAATATTAAACGTTAGAAGAATAAGATAGAAGCGTAGAGAGACAATATATACGAAGATATATTCCTAAAATATCGTAGGTATATCGCGGTAAATAGGGTAGATAAGTATAAGAGCGATTAAGGGTATAGGTAGAGGAGGAATATACAGATTTATTAGTAGTTTTATTAGGTAGACCCTCTATTTATCCTCCTTCCGCTCGATTAGTCGCTTCTTTAGTTATTGCCGTTACTTACCTCGAAATGCTATACGTTACATTCTCGCTAAAATCTCGATATTCTTAGCGTTCTAGCATAATTTCGAAGAGGAGTTAGAAGCTTAGGCAGAGCGAGAGGGTAGTTTAAAGGAGGATTTAAAGCGAGTTTAACGTAGTTTCTATACTATAATCTCCTCTATTTAACCCTCCTATCGCTTCGCTACGGCCTCGATATCCTCTAGGTTATTATCGCGTCTAAATATCTTTACGATTATCTTTTTAATCTACTCTAACTGTTTATCTCTCGTACTTCTAAGGAACAACGATACTTCGCTATAGTTAATTAACTTCCTCGCTACCGCTCTACGCTATCGTATCTTCGGCTATCGTTCTATAAAGGCCTTCGTTACTAATAGTAATCTAAGTCGCTCTTCCTTATCCGGCGGCAGTTATACTATTATCTTATTAGACTCGCGAAGTTATCCGACGATATAATCTATCGACTCGCTTATCTACGCCTACGTAGTCTTCTGTTTTTTCTCCTTCTATTCCTTCGTAAAGTTAATAGTAGCGTACTTCCGTAGAGCGAATGCGCGACTTCCTTTAGTAATAGTATTGTCGCTCTTAGATTTGCTACTTTTACTAGATAACGACGAAGACGAAGACGCTATTAATAAGTCTATACTAAGCGCGTACTTACTAGTAGTAGTAGTCTTACTAAACAGCGTCCTTAATATATCTTCGAAAGCAAGAGGTTTATACCTAAATTTGCTATACTTCCGTATATTAGCTAGCTCTACGAAGAAGTCTTCTATTAACGCCTTATTAGTAGTTAGTAAGCTAGTTACTAGATCCTTACTCTAGCTAGACTTCGTTATAAGCGCTTGCTATGCTCTATAGTCGCTATAAAGTATCTACTTCTTACTAGCGATCTTATCTTTATTTACCTTTAACTTCCGGTCTTTAGGCGCTACTTCGAGAACCTTCGTCGTTACGCGCGCTATTACTAAAGGCTTAAACCTACCCTCGAGGTCCCTTTGTCTATTCGAACTGCTCTATAGTAGCGACGACAATAGCGCCTATATTATTATATCCGTCTAAACTAGCGTGTTTCTATCCGCTCGCAGAGTCGCCGATCTACTACTCCTTCGACCTATACTATTAATAAAAGCTAACTCTAGCGTTTAAAAGCCTAGCGTTATAGGTTTACTCTAAGGCGTATCTAATCGAGAAGTTAGCGACGAGGGCACTACTAGCGAAGATAGCGCCGGCGAGGAAGAGAAGGAATACTAGCTCTACGTAGGACTCTAGCTCTACTTAGTAGTATATTCGAAAGATATAGACTCGTTAAAACGCGCTAATTACTACTAGAATAGAGCGTCTTCTATAAGACTATCGCCCTTAAGAGCCTGCTAGTTGCTAGACAAGATATTCGATAGATCTATAGCTCTATATAGCAACAACGACCCTAATAGTTAAATTCTCGAGGTTTAGAAGGCCTAATCTAGATACTTGCTAAGGACATTCTATACGGCATAGCGCACACAGAACAAGGGCACTATTTCGTGTCGATATAGGCTTTAAACTAGCACGATATATTGTAGATACAGTAGCGATAATATGCCGCTATAATAGACGATATCTACAACACGACATTAGACCGACAGAACAGGACCCAAGAGCCCACCCACCACTGCCACCTTCGCGGCGCCATGCTCTTTTGGTCGCTCGTGCTCCATGCCTGCCTTGCCTCAGCCACTTCCGCATGCGGCACGTACGCGTCGATCTGTGAATCATTCTACGCGTCCAGACAGAGCACGACCTGCCGTCGTTCAAGGTTCGATCTCAAGGTTCACGGCAACGGCGGCCCACCAACCCAAACGCCCGCAGCATCAAGCCTACCTCGACCTCCTCTCCTTGCTGAATATGCGGGCCGACACTCGAGAGCTACGCTGCTCACCTGCAGTCGCTTGTCATGCTGAATCTCAACGAGCAGAGAGAAACCGATCGCTGACGTGCGCAAACCAGTCGCTGACCTCATCGTTTGTGAACAAAGACTGCCCGCCGACTGTGTCATGCACGATGCTGCCGTACTGTAGCAGCAGAGCTATCGGTGCCGTGCCTGGAAAGAATATTATCATTCCCCGTATTTCTTCGTAGCACCACAGCACGATGCACGCATACTTGCTTCATTTGGATTCTTGACCTGAAGAATGAAAGTCTTGTGGCCCCTGATCATACTGTCATTCAGAATCGGCACAGCATATGCGGCAACCCTCGAAGAATGGCGCGGAAGAACAATCTATCAGGTTTTGACAGACCGCTTCGCCCGCAGCGATGGCTCCAGCACCGCAGCTTGTGGCGTCGTTGACGGGCTCTACTGCCATGGAACTTGGAAGGGCATCATCGACAAGCTGGACTACATCCAAGGCATGAATTTTGATGCTATTTGGATCTCACCTGTTGTCGCTCAGCTTCCCCAGCGGACAGGCGACGGCGAGGCGTATACAGGCTATGTGAGTGCCCCAGTCGAACGGCACGGCACGGCATCAGGGCAAGATCATGAGATCAGACACAGCATTTTTGCCTCAGCTCCTGCTCTGGAGTGCTACTTCGCATTTCAGTGAGGCACGCCTTTGCTGATCCTCATCTCCTTCGCATATAGTGGGCCCAGAATCTTTACAGCCTGAATGCGAACTTTGGCTCAGCAGAAGACCTCAGGGCGCTGAGTGATGCTCTGCACGACCGCGGGTAAGCAGAGATTGCTCTCAATCTCGTCATGAACCCCTCTAAGCCATTTTCAGCATGTACTTGATGCTAGACATTGTTGTCAATCATATGGGTCTGTCTTATAATATATGTCTTCCTCTCGCCTTACAAAAGCTGAGCTTCTGATTAGGGTATGCCGGAGTTCCCTCTTCTGTGGACTATACCATCTTGGACCCTTTCAATGATGAACGCTATTTCCATCCGTACTGCGCAATCAATGACAATACCAATCAAACCGAAGTGGAAGTCTGCTGGCTCGGAGACACTATTGTTCCACTCCCCGACCTCCGCACAGAAGACGAGGACGTACAAGACATGCTCCAGAGATGGATCTCGTCCATGGTTAGCAACTATTCTATTGATGGTCTCCGCATCGATACCGCAATCAATGTCCAGCCTGGATTTTTCCCGGACTTCGTCAACGCATCTGGACTTTTCGCCATGGGCGAGACTATGATGGGTGACAATTTATTTGTCTGCCGCTGGGCACGAACGATTGGCAGCATACTCAATTATCCCATTTATTATCCTCTGATCAGAGCCTTCTCCAGTGCGCAAGGGAGCATAAATGATTTGGTCAAGACTATTTATACTATGCGCCAAAATTGTGACGATCCCACCACGTTCGGCTTGTTCAGCGAGAATCATGATGTCGAGCGATTTGCGCAATATACGAACGATACTGCACAAGCGAAGAACCTGATTGCTTTCACAATCATGGGGGATGGCATTCCCATCATTTACCAAGGCCAAGAACAGCACATGGCCGGTGGAATAAGTCCGTACATCAACAGAACACCACTTTGGGCAACCGGATACGATACAGAAGCCTTCCTGTATAAGCACATCGCCAAACTCGTTGCCGCCAGACAACACATAGTCAAAACCAGCGAAGGTTACACTCGCTTTGCCACGGAAGTGGTGTATCAGGACTACCATTCATTCGCTATGCGGAAAGGCAAGACTGGTCAACAGGTCATTACCGTTCTTAATAACAATGGGGAGGATACGTCAGAGTTCAAGCTAGACATTCGCGGACACGACCTGGAATCTGGGACGCACGTGACCGAGCTTCTGTCCTGCACCAACACTTCAGTCGAAGCTTCAGGTATTCTCTCGGTCCAAATGGGCTCCGGCCAGCCTAAGGTATACTATCCTACACACCTTCTGGTGGATTCTGGGTTATGCGGAATGGGCAAGACAGCAACGTCGAATGGCGATCATTCGGACGATGTAATGACCACATCTACCCCGACAGCATCAAAACCAGCCGAACCAGGCCACACTCGAACCGCGCTGGGCGTAGCAAGCCATCCAACGAGCGGAGATGCCATCACAACCATTCTCGCCTGCTTCGCCATTCTAATGTTGGTATCCTCGATGTGCTGAGAGATAAAGAGGTGCCAGTACCGACTTCGCCCCTTATCTAGAGGCGCTGGTAATCTCTCGGGCACGAAGGATCCGAAGACAACACGACATGTGTTGCGGTTACCGAAAGTCCCGACAAGCGCTGGACCGTCGCAATGCGAGTTGTTTTCTAGCGATTCAGCAAGCGCATTTACGGCATTGTTGGCAATCAATGATGTATATGCTGCATAGAGCTGGATGTATGTCACCAAGATCGCCGCAAATACGAACTCTCTGCGGAGTCAGCAAACGAATATTCTCGAATACGCTATATCCCCTTAACGAAGTCCGTGGTTAAGTCCGTCGAACACCCACCCTGGCAGTCCCCTTGTTAGGTTCCACTTTATCCGGTGTAGCTCTATACAAACCTGCATTACTACTCGAACAGCGATACTGTCCGATTGGGTCTCGGATTCAGCCGTAGTAGAGCTTAGGGTTAAGAAGCCGATACCTTTACGAGTCGTCCCCTAGTAAAAGTTTTATAGCAAACCTTAGTAAGTAAAGAAGAAGGTATAGAAGAAGGCATAATAGAGGCGCTAAGTACGCTACCGAGACAGGTATATAGACAAATAGACTATAGATTAAGACCTTCTAATACTAATTAGCTACTACTAGCAACCGAGTCTCGGTTGTCTCGTATACGCTATCGACTAAGGCGCTATAAGCTTAGTAAAGACACACTTTAAGCCCTTCTCGAGCCGCCGAGTCTACTTAAGAAGTAGTTTAATATTAGTCTACTTATAGCGAAGGTTAACCGTCTCGCGGAGGCAGTAAGGGACTTAAGGGTAGACGTAAACCTTCTATAGAAGGAGGTTAAGGAGTCGCTAGTAGTAGCTAGCTCCGCCGAAGAAGGCTCTCGAAGTAAGGCAATAGTTATTAAGAGAGCGGAGTTTGAGGCACTTTAGCGCTAGATAAACCGACTAGAAGAGACTATTGCCGAGCTCGTAAAGTCGCAGTACGCTTTAAGTATCGGCTATAAAGCTAATCTATAGGCAATAGCGACTATAGTTAATCGCTAGAGGTTAAAGCGCTAGCAGGCACTAAATCTAGCTTTAGGCTCTCGAAGAAGGCATAGAGATTAGGCTAGTTGTGCTATATTATATTATATACCTTATATAAGGCGATAGGTCTATAATATAAGTAGGCGTAAGTTGTATAGTGCTTATCGTTCTTGTTAGTAGGCTAGTGTTTAAACTCCTAAGCGGTTCTTACGTACTTGTATAGGTAGCAACGTTAGCGTCGTAGAACAGCCTTCTAGTTATATATAGCGTTGCTACTACGAGCGAGGCGACGAGCTTCTTCGGCTATAGGAAGACTATTACCCTTCTTAATCTAATAGCGATAAGATCGAGAGCCGCTCGTATTATAGGTATAACCTAAGACAAATTAGCTATAGCTTCGAGGCCGTAGCGGAGTTAGAGTGCGCTATACCCTTAAAGCCGCCTCTATAGCCTATTTCTCGTTAATCTCTTGCTAACCGAGTTAGACTATTTGCTACGCTAGTGCTATACGGAAGTCGCGTTAGTAAGTAAACTGTTAGTCCTTTATCTACTGCTTATTACCTCGTAGAAGGATAAATGAGTTAACAACTAAAGCGTCGAGTAGGAAGTAGAACAAGGGGTGCTAACCCTTTTGTAACTTATACTATATCGAGCAATAATAGCGCAACTAGTTATAAATATTAACGCTACCTATATAGTTATTATATAGGGCAGCAATCTCTAGTAGAAGCATCTCTTGTTTGCCGTCGGTTATCTAATAAGGTCTTACGTACTTGTCGATATAGGCGTTGTTTCTAGCTCGAGGGCATACGCGAAGCCGTCGTATCCGCTTAAAGGGTCGACAACCCGTTATAAGGAACTAGACGAGGTTCCTATCTTGCTAGATCACCGCCGCTATACTATAAATTGCCTTGTAAAGTAGTATATCGTAGGGAAACTAGGTCGTCTTGCGATTAAGACCTAGGTATATAGATTTCTACCTTATACTATCTTTTTTCAAAGTCCCTAGTTTCTCGAAGGTTTTGCCTCGCTACGGCTACGAGAGTAAGCTAGATCGTACCGTTCTAGTCGCTGCAATACCGAGATGTCGTAAGACTGCGAATAATAGTACGTTATTAAATAGGTTGTCTATAAAAATATAGTAGAAGTATTATAGGAATAGAAGTTATAAGATTAGTCGAAGGATAGCCTACCGAAGCGAGCTTAGTTTAGCGCTTAGCGAGACGGTAGGCGATACGATTAGGCTTTCGGTTAGTTCGGAAGTGCGGTCCGCGCGGGCCGCGCTTATATAACTTTCCTTCCTTATATTCTAAACTAAACATAATCTAGTGTTCTTACTATAACTAACACCTCCTAGACCTCGTAACTCTCGCTCGCGGCGCTTCTTATTACTCTCTTTATAGCGCTCCTTCGCCTTAGCATCTATAAGAACCTCTAGCGTTACTACTAGGTGCTTAGCGACCGCCGCGGCGATAGAATCCGGGTCTTTATTAATCTCCTACTTATATACCTTCCGTAGACTCGAGAACAGGAAGGAATATAGGTACCTATCCTTATATAGGTATAGGATATAGTATCCGATTAGTATTAGCTTCCCTCGCATTATAATTATATGCCTAGATTTACTAGTAAAACAGATTATACTCTCGTTAATAGATACATTAGTACTAGGTACGACTACCTCGCGGAATTTGCTATATAAAATGTTAGTAAGAGGTAGGATCTACGTCTAGCTAGGTAGGCCTCTTCTACTTAACGAGAGCGCGTTACTCCGGTACTATAAAGCAGCCTTAATCTGTTTGAACCGCTATTTACTTATATAACCGACAATAGGATGTAATAGCTAGTATCTATCGTCGCGCTAATAATCGGACTTGTCGGCTATTTAGATTGCGGACATATAAATAATAACACCTACGAAGATCCGTATTGTTAGCTTGTCTACCGGCTTCTATAGATAGCCGGAAACGACGATCTTATTACCCTTCTTAAAGTCCGGCTTATTAATAGTATACTCGTTAGTGCAGTTAACGAGTCGGTCTATAACCTTATAGGTCTAGAAGAGTAAGAAGAAGCGATACTAGACGTTGTCTAGTAACGATAGGTTACTACTTAGGTCTGTAGGCAAATTAACCTGCCGCCGGTAAGGGGTGCTAGTTAGTAGCTCGTAGCGACCTTCTATTGTCTCTCCGTCCTTCGGATAATATAGTCTACCTACCCTACTATCTACCCCTATATCTTCGATCTCTTTATCTCCTTCTACGACTTCCGTAGGCTTACTCTCTACGCCGCTTAGTATAGGCTCTCCTGCCTTCTTAAATACCGGCTCCCTTCCTTTAGTTAGCTAATTAGCATTTAACTTATCCTCGTCTATTAATTTAGCGGACATATCTAGCTAATTGTTATTACTATCGTCGTTATAACCCTCTTCTATAAAGGCCTAGAAGCTCGCTATATTGTTATATGCTTCTTAGCAGGATTAAGTTTAGAAATACGAAGGCAATTAAGTCGTATATGTAGGCCGACAGCGGCAACAAGGGCTAAGCGCTTAAAGAGGCTTAACGTACCTATAAACGAGGCTAATTAAGGCCTGTTTATTTACCTACAGTCTACCTTCCGAAAGCTAACTATATAGACACTATAGGGGTTGATCCCTATTTAACCGACGAACGCCGCTTAGCAACGAGTTATTACAGGGGATGTGGCTCGAACAAAAATCAGCACTGTACCTTGCAGTGGATCTCGACACGGGTATTGACCGGGATCTACTATCCCTGTCGACCGAATTTCTCAGCACAGCATCAAGTGGGCTTCCACCCTTAAATGGCGCCATGAAGCGGTTCGGACCAGCGTTCATGACAGCTCTCCCATTCGTGCTTTACACTCGCTTGTGGCGTGCCCTTCCTTGCCAGTGGAGATCTTATCTCTATCAAAATTGTTGGGCTTCGACTGCAGAGATGAGCTGAACTGGGGCCTAGGGCCTGTTTCTGATAGACGACAAGTCCCAATCAATATGGTAGCGCCATATGAACCACAATCATTTCGTCATATCTGTCCTTATCAAAATCGATGCATTAGGCTCGAAGACCGCGGCTGTGTCACCTGTTGTACCACTTCAGGCGTCAGCTCGATCGCCAGAATATCCATGGACTCAGTGACAGCACATACATCGTATGCGAATCGAAGACGAGATGGCCTTTGAAGGCGACTGAGCCAGATTGCCGCGACGGAATTATTGCAGAGAAACCGTGAGCCATGGGCCGTGTCGAGTCGAGTTAGATTAAGTCTGCCTTGACTCTCAAGCTCTGTATTCAGGGCAGGCATCATTATCCGCACAAACTTGGGTGAGTAGCCAGTCAGTCACTATCTCGTGGTGGATTCATCATTCGACAAGCTGCAGGTGTAGTCGACTTTTCTCTCGAAAATTTGAGTTCACGGAGCGAAGCGAAGCGAAGCGAGCCAACGAGCGTGGCGGTGGCGCGAACCCTTCCCGCCGTCCACAGCTTTCGGAAGTCGTTGCCGAAGACGAAGACGCCACAGCCAGCCCTTTCTTTCTATTCGAAACAGATTTCATTCCCAACGCTGCTTGGATCCAAAAAGAAAATTTTTCTCTTCATCTCAAGAACATGTTCGAAGTAGTGGACACGATCTGTCGAATTCTTCTTCTTCATTGTTAACCACTCGAAATAGTTTGCTAGCATAGTTGTCACGATGATAACGAGCATACCATACCGGTCCGGCCAAGAGAGGAGCTGACACTTGCTAGGTACCAGGGCACTGGAGTCGTGTCTTTCCTGTCGTCCTTCATACCAACTTCAAGCACAAATCGAAGCAAGGTTTTCACGCTCTGGTCTCAGGCGCGACCTCGACACCACAACTAAAGATAGCTATGGCATGCCACATTGAGCCTATTGCGACTTTGCCGTCTAGGCATTGATGGGAGGAAGGGTTGACATCCCATGCGTGAACAGATGATGACACAGGAGGCTGGCAAACGGACGCAAGGAGGTTCTGACGGGTCACGCAGAGGTGACAATTGGAAGCGAGTGACAAAAGCTTGCGGTACGACTGACTTGCACTTGGCCAACCTAGGCCGTAAGAACACCTCGAATCAGGTACGGCTAAAGGGATTCACTACAGTTGCGAAGCATTCTGTGTCATTTTCGGCTTGGCCTAAAGAGCAACAATTGCTCATGATTGATTCTGTGCCATGAGGTTTGACGTAGCGTTCAGCTCTGGCCTTACCGACGATGAATCTCCTTGACAGAAAGAACGATGAATCAGCGGCAGGGCCCTGATGGATGATGTTCCTCCACAATCCATTAAAAATTGTCATCCTCTCGATCTGTTCTTCCATCTGCAGTCTACAGTGTCCCTCCCTCCTTCTTCATTTCAAAACAGTACAACTCATAATTCGTGATCTCGTTGAAACGCTAGAACGCAAAAATTGAAGAAACTCGTCAACCCATCTTCAATCCAGTTTCACTAAGGATTCTGATGGCGTCCTCGGGGCTGTAGCCGATGAACAGTGGTCCATTGATGACAATCTGTGGAGTGGCCGAATTTTGAGGTGTTGAAGTACGGGGTGCTGGCTGAGGCTTCGCTTTCTCTTTCTCCGTAGCAGGCTCTGGCTCTGGCTTCTGCGCTCGAGTGGCAGGCTCTTGCGATTTAGGCTGACCAGGCTGAGGCCTACTCATGCCCATGGCTTGCAGTGCCCTGTGGTCAAACGGGCACTTTCCAGCAGGCTTCGGGTCTGCCTTGGATTCTGGGGCAGGCTGCTTGGCACTTTGAAGTGCAGATGAATCAACTTGAACTGGTTGGCTACTGCGCTCACTCTCAGGTTTGTCGTCATATCGTGCCGGCACCGGTATCCCCCAAGGTCTGCTGGGCGATTCTCCGACACGAATCTCTCGCACAGGACGTTCGAAATGTGGAAGTCGATCTTCCTCTCCCTCTCGCTCCACATCTCCAGCTTCTGGTGCCTGTGCGCTAATACTTCTAGCCCACTTGCGAATCTTCTCGTCACTGACTGCATCGTCATATCGTTCGTCGTCTTGCTCCTCCGGATCGGGCTCCTCTGGCAGCATTTCCTTATGTTTCTGACCCAAGCCTTGAATCATCGAGACGAGATTACCGTACTTGGCGTCCAACTGCTTGATCTGTTCTTCGTTGCTCTGATATCGTAAGATGCATACCTCGTGACTTCGAGGCAGCTCGTTCTTGTGTCTCTCAAAATAAGTCGCCACCTCTTCGGGCGAATGCTGATCTAAGAAGCGGATCGGACATACGCCAACCTCGGCATTCTCAATCTGTGGCTGCTCTGGAACTTTGCTGGGAGCCTGCTCTGCTACCGGAGATGCTGCGGGAGAAGCACTGTAGTGATCAGAGAGACCGCAGATTTCAGCTTTGATGGGATCAAAGAAGCTTGCTCTCCTGCTCCCTCTACGCGAAAAGCTATCCCGTCCGTTCACGTAACTGCTCTGACTTACTCGCGTGCTTGCAGCGACACTTCCATTCGGTGCATTCCTCTCGTATCGGCTCAGCACGCCGGCAGCATGCGAGCTCAGCTTCTTCTTCTTCGCCATGGCCGCGAAGGGGCAGCCAAGTTGACTAGGTTTGCCCTCAACAGTAAAGTCTTGTTCCAAAGGCGACTCGGATATCGATGGCATCACCGAGCTGGAGCCTTCTGGTTTGTCTGCAGAAGGCCCTGACCAGATCTTCACGCCATGAGCGGCTGTGTCCAAGGAAAGGCTGCTGCTGAGTTGCTGGGCAGCTGATATTGCAGACCTGACCTTGTTCGCCGCGTCTTTTGCGTGGATGTCTGGTCTCGTATCCAAGATCTCGGCGACGGTTCTCGGTGCAAATATGTCTTGATTCGGCTGTCCCGGAGAAGAAGTGAGGCTCAAAGGTGGCGTGGCCGTCTGTTCAGAGCTGCAGAGCTTCGCAAGTTCATTGTACTGCGATTCCAAAGGTCAGCTTACTGTTCCGAAGTAGTGTCGCGTCTTACTCGCATCAAGCACACAGATATCAGCGTCAATTTGAAAGTCTATCACTGCCGCACACGGCGACTACAGGTCTAGAGCTAAAGATGTTCATCACAAGAGCAATCAAGATGCAGTGTTCAAGGAAAGTGGACTGTCGTACCTGCTCCCGCGCATTCGCAAGCTTCCGTTCCAGGGCCTGGTGCTGCCCATACAGTTTCTGATATTCGTCCTGCAATGCTCCGAAGCCTGCCGATAGCTCTTGAACCAGTCTGTCCACCGCGACACTATCCATAGCGTGTGTCAGCGCTCGGGGTGAGGGTGTGTGCGGAGTCGGCCTGATGCCTGCGAAGGACGTATCTGGGCGTGATCATGCGCCGGAGTCGGGTGCCTTGACGTCGCGACAGGCAGCCTATGTTTTCCCGACCGTGACGTTTGAGTCAGTCCGGCGCGATGCGCAATATGCGATATGCGATCCAAAGTGTTGAAGCTGTGGTCGATCTCTGAAGACGAGATGTGTGAGTTGGGGAGCGCGTCATTCCTCAGCAGCGCGAAGTCAACAGGGGTCGACAAACCTCATTCGGTCGCGCGCGTGCGACTATTAATAACACACAATATAGTGCGACTATTATTGACTCGCAAGGCATAACTCGCAGGCACTAAATATATAGATATTGCTGTATAGACCTCAAAGACCTCACTGTCGCTTTAGGTTAGTAGATCTTAGATATCTACTCTTCTAAATACTGTCTCCGGCTCCGCCTTTTCTATATACTCGTTATAGGCAGGCAGATTGCTATTCAAACTGTCGCTTACAGCGTCGTAGACTGCACCTTATAATAGCACTATCGCATTAGTAATAGCGGCTACTTCTTCTTCGTCTATTTGCCTATTCTATTCTAGTATAAACGTATTACCTTTTAAGGGGGTTGTCCGCTTCCGCTTCTTGCTCTATAGCTCCTACTCTCTACGTAGGACTCGATAGTTAAAGTAGATAAAGATTAGCTAGTTAAGTCGCTCTATTATTAGACGAGAACGAAGCCTCGTCTATATTAGCTTAAGAGCCGAGAAGGTCCGCTTAGTAGTAACTATATTAGTAGTAGTCTAACAAAGCCGTAAGGCATAGGCTGCTAGTAATAGTAAGGCAGCGGCCTTATAGCTCTAGAATAGCTTTATATTACTATAGCGTGTCTAGCAGTCGTTAAAGGCAATAAAGCTACCTCTTCTATAGATATAGTCGTAGAAATTAGTCTTAATTAATAGTAGGTTATCTATATTAGAGGTTGTTAACCGCAAGGCGTTAAGAACGAGAGCCTATTTAGTTAGTAACAGTTTAATTCCTTTAATAACCGTAGAAGGGTTAAGGAAGTAGGCCGCCTAATAGTGCTTATTTACCTGCCTTAAGAAGCGCTCCTACTAGCCTATAATAGTCGCTATTAACTTCCTTATATTAAGGACAAATTAGACACCTTCGAGAAGCTCTTAAATTAGTAGTAGACTCGTAGCAATCTGCTTCTCGAGGGTCGCTTTGTAAGCAAACTAGCGAGGTATTACCTTGTCTATTATAGCCTCTTTTAACTAAGATAGGATAAGCTAATTATTAAGTAGTTCGAGAAGGTCGACAGCCGCTTAGAGTTTAGTCTAGAATGCGTAGTCTATAATAGTATTCTTAGCCTCGTAATCTAGCGTACTAAGATAGTCGCGAACGAGCTCTTAAAGGGCATATTTAGAGCGTAGAAGTAACTTAAATAAGGCGATTATAGTCGGCTACCGAGTCTTATATATGCTAATTAGCGAGAAGGTCTTGCTATAGACCGCTACCTGCTTCTTCTTTAAGAGCTAATATATCGCCTTCTTCCGCGATAGGTAACTAACAACGTGCTAAGCCTCGTCGTAAAGGCCTTGTAACTTAGGGTATTTAAAGAGGTCTCTTATTAACAACGCTCTGCCGTATAAGTCGTAGGGCACTATAATAACGTAACTTAGCTCTTCGTTATCTTCTAACAGACGTATTATCTTTAGGTTTATAGTATATATATTAAATGCGATTAAGCTAATCTTCGAGAGGTCGCCGCCGGTAAGCTATTAGCACTTTACCTTCGTCTAACGCGCGCCTTCTTTACTAGATTCATCGACTGTCTCTATCTAGCGCGTCTCGAGGGTATAGCAACTAGTAGAGTCGATAAGCGACAATATTATAATGCCTATTCTATTACTATCGGAGGTACTATTAATTTGTAAGTTTAGCTCGTTATAATACGCGACCTTTGCTATTACCTTCTCTTCTATCTTCTCGAAGTGCCGTAGTAATAGAACGCGTCGAATTCGGGCCTTATAAGGTAGCTTAAATAAAGGGTAAAGGGCGGCGAATAGAGCCTTTACTACTAACTTCTCGAAGAAGGTAAACGGCTCGTTCTTTTTAAAACAAATAGCACTATATAGCTCCTCGAGATAATCGTGCTAAGCGTTAGTTAACGCGACCTATAGCAATTTTATCTGCTCCGGCGACGATAGCACCTTGCCTGTTTTTATCGCTTCTAACCGCTTCTTATACTCGTCGATATAGTCCTTATTTCGAGCTAGATCCTTTACCGCGTCGTAGCTATAGAAGCGACAAGAAATACGCCGCTTTGCTCGGTAGTCGTTATACTACTTAAAAAAGCGATAAATAAGGTTATTAGGCTTAGCTATTTGAAACACGTAATAAGAGGCGACGATAAGGATAACTAAGCGATAAGAGGTGCTATTTAGATAGCAATAACAGCGACGACGAAGTATAAGGTAGAGGAAATATAACTATATAGCAGAAAGCGCGATTTCGACGCGTTTTAGTAGAAAACTATATACTATACTATATGTATGTTAACCTAGGACCGACTCATAAAAAACACTATACAAATAACCCACAATAGGTCGCTCGCGGTAACGCGCGTGCGATTAACCATAAATCGCACACAAAGTCGACCCCTGGAAGTCAAGGTCGATTTGAAAGCGGACGGACAATCAACCCGAGACACCGAGATCGGACAGTGAGGAGAGTTGCCAGCTCTTAGATGACAAGGAGTATCATCAATCCATTTGTACGGACAGACAGAACATCAAACATCCTTTCCTGCAAAGTTGGTAGCGAAGAAAGGTCAAGAAGATGGATGCTACGTTCTAGAAGATCCACCGGTGGCTTCGACTATGCTTCGGATCTGATAATGATGCATCGGATCAGATAAGCTGTCGAGAATAGAACTGTGAACCACATGGCAAGGAAAATAAAGACATGGTATTTCAGCCTAGGAAGAAGTCAATCGGAGTGGAATGATACTTGATAATGCTCAATACCAGACCTATCTTGTCCAGCGTCCGGCAAGAAGAACATACCGTCGTTGCATTCTCGCATCTTGTGAAACTTGTCAGGCACCAAGTCTGCCTTAATCCACCCCCGATCGCCGCATACACCCCATCGCGAGCGAACCACACCTGCCCATTGACACCATCCCATATACCCGCCTATCGCATACTCAGACAAGATGGTCGCAGGCAAAACCTCGAGAGAAGCCCTCGCCCGCGCCGCCGCCCAACCCACACCCAAACTCCCACCTCTCCCCAAACTAAAAGTCAGAAAACCAGATCAAGCCAATACGAATCCATGTATAAGCATAATGGCAAGCATGTTAGGTGAGTGAGTGAGCGAGCGAGCGTAGCGACCATCTTACAATTTTTGGACCTCGCTAACTAACGTTCGGTCATACAGGCTGCTGGGCATCATCAGGCTACACAACAGCAGGATGCGCGGCGCTAGAACAACAATTACGAGTATGCATGGATGCGAGAAAACCTGGACAGCAGGCTAAGAGTCCGATAAACCATCATTTGTCGAGGTTTTATCCGAAGATTATTGGACCGCATAAGAGGAAGTGATGAGGATTCACGAGAGATGGTGGGATGAGCCAACATTAAAATATGCGGCCATGGCATTCTGGAGTGTTATATGCTCGCTCGCTCGCTCCACGCGTGCGCGTTTGAGGGCGGCTCAGATGGGAAGGGAGGTGAGAGATGGATGGTATCTCTAAGGACAGCAGAGGCAGATACCCAACAACGAGCCCGCTGCAGGGGGACATTGTAGCGCTTAGCCACGGCCAGGATGAAAGTGCGAGCACAATGATCTACACGACGACGAAATGATGTACAGCTAGACTGTTGTTGGCATTGTACATTTGATTTGCAAGCGAGAGCTATTTTATCTACGCAAGCGACAAAGCTGCGGATTGTATGGCTGTGAGCCAACTGCTACCCTATGCAATCACTTCTCCGTGGTATCATTTAAAGGCGTAATCCGTCAACTCTTGCGTCTCCGATCTCCCCAGTCCATCTCTATTACAGGATTGTGCCGAATCCAAACGTAGTCTTAATGCTGCGCACATAGTACTGATCCCAATTCCTCTTGGTTGGCTCTTCTTGGCCAATTGGGACGCCATCCCAGTCAACTCGCATGATGGTGACGGCGTCAACATCGTTCTGCTCGAACTTGATCTTTAACGTAGAGTAATGATCTGCTGGCCATTGCGCGAGGCGCCACTTCTGTTCAATGTATGTTGGCTTGTCAAGCTTGACATATGAGCCCGATACATTTCCGCCGAACAGCTCAAATTTGCCACCCGCCTTTGCACCCTCATAGACCTTCGGAGGTTCTCGCGTAAAGGCTGCAATGCGCTGTGGGTCGGTAAAAGTTTCGAACAGCTGCTCAGCAGTGGTCCGGAATTCTTGCTGGTCTGAAAGCTTGGTGGTGTTAACAATTGCGCCGTCACTTGACGAGGTGGTAGTCGATGTGGTTGCGCCAGATGAAGACTTGTTCACGCCAGAGTTGGTAAGCGTTCTTGGTGTGCTGAAGCCAGAAGATGGATTTGAGCCTGGTGCATGCTGGATGTCTTTGCCGTGCTCCGCAATGAGGGCAGGAGCCAGCTTCTGAAGGAGTTTCCGCAATTGTGGCGTGATCTCCTGTCGGACGAGCTCTTTGGCAGGCTCCTTGTCCAGGGAGGAAGAATATATGTCAACCTCGAACTGTGAAATTGTTAGTCAATCCCTGCTGGAATCGATCTTGGTTGACACTGAACATACAACGTACTCATCCTCCTCCGTATCGTGTGCGACCTCGGGTATTGTGATGGTGCCGCTCACGTCCTTCTTGCCATCTCGCTCTTCCTTGGTGCCATCGTCATTCTCATGCTCTTCTTTGACAGGTACACTGCCAGTCCATTCCAGCGATAGCCGTACGTCAAAGATGGTTATGACCTTGCCTTTCCGCTGCGATACATCCACATCACCATCCATGCTCAAAATTTTGCTGACTTCGGCATTGACGCCATCCTTTTCCGCAAAATTTTGCTGACTTCGGCATTGACGCCATCCTTTTCCGCCTTCAGGCCAACAATCTCGTTGCTGAGGTAGTCCTGAGTCCAAGCGGAGACATCCTTGTTCACCCAGTGCCAATTGTTTGGGTTGTGCAAGACCATGGCGAAGGTCTCAAGTGGGGGGAGGCTGTATCAAACCGAGAAAGCAGGTGGGTTGGCTATGTATAATCCTGCGATTCTGTCAGCATCCACTCCTACGAAGGCGTTTGAGCTAAGAAGTCGTGTGTCCATGTGAAAATCAGATATAGAGAACTGTGTCTCGTGCAAAGCTATTCCGCAGCAAAAAGAGTACAAGTCTTTCTCGGACTGGTGCCAGCTGTGTGTCTCATCATAACACGCTTAGAAGGGGACGGCATTCTGCAACATTCACTTATTCACTTACCTTGGATTGCTTGCGATCAGCACGTGTGAGGTGAGAGAGCGGGAATGCAAGTTTTGTAGAATGTGTTGTCGTGGGCTTCCAGCGCATTCGAGAAAAGCTGCAGATGAGGCTGAAGCTCGACTGAGGCTCACTGAGCCGACATTTTCGCGCTGGTACGGAGGCCCATACATACCGAGGGGTCAACTAATTCCTCACCGCCTCACCAGACCTTCCACGACCCGTACTATACTCGCTGTAGACTGCATAATGCCTCCACGTATTGATCTATCGCTGTAGAGGGCTTGGATAACCTCTCAAGTCAATAGCGGCACTATACGAGAAGCAATCGTACAGCACCTTGTACAGGAGACCGGTTATGAGATATCTATAAATACGCTTAAACGAAGGCTCAAAGAGTGGAATGTTCAGTATAACCGTTATACTGACTATCGACAAGTCAACGATGTCGAGGCACTGAAGATCCGCGTCGCATATACCTTCTACGTTCTACGCTTAACTGATGCGGACGCGATTCAAGTATTACAAGCGTATGGATTCGATATTGGCCAGCGGAGATATCAACGAATACGTCAAGAGCTTGGATTGTCTAAATCAATATCGCCAGACAGGTATACAGAAGCGGAAGAGCAGATAGCAGAGGTGTTACAGGAACTTGGTTGTCCAAGCGCGAAGGAGCAATAGTGGAAAGACCAAAGAGCGATTTGTCGCTTCCCACCGCATTATTGATCATGCTATGCAAGATACAGACTATCTCATGCACATGCTTCGTGTAGAAGTAGACGGAGGGCAGGGTCACTCCAGCAATTGACTCCGTCCACCCAGTCCTGAGCTGTGCGTTCAACCCGGATGTTCTATCGTCATGGGATGACTTTCCAGCCTTTGAGTGCGATCCGAGTCATTTTGCAACTGGTGGGCCTGCACCCAGCTACGACAAAGAGCGTCAAACTTCGCCCACAGGCCAAGAGAAATCTGGCGGGGCAAGTGTCAACCAGCAGGGCACACTCTTCACCTACCGAAGCATCTCATGAGGATCGCGTACCATTCGCCTGGAGTCCATCTGCCAGACGCCTTGCAGAACCCGCAGAGGTCAGACTTGATCCGCAAGATCCACTGTTAAGAGCAGTGGATCCTGATTTCAGACTTGCTACGCCACCTATGAGAAATTAAAGTCAGGTCTCATGCAAGAGCTCAGAGTTGAGGATCATCTAGTACTTGCCCCTTTGCGATCCTTTCCCGATCCAGCTGTTGTTAATATCTTCACCTCGAGGTTTACGAAATGTTTTCTGCCTCAAGCTCCGGCCACCCATGTGCCCACCTTCAATTTCAATGCAGAGCTACCACAGCATCTGCTTGTGACCATCATTTCCATTGGTGTTACTTACTGTCGGAGAAAAAACGCAAAGCACCTTGCTACCGTCCTACAGGATCGGGCGCGATGTCGACTACAGCTCAGCATTGAAGCAGATAACACAATGTTGAGATCTCCGCATACCGTCTACGCAGCGGCTTTGATCTGCTACGCCGGGATTTGGTGTGGCAACAAGCGCGCTCACGAACTTGCAGAAGCAATGCGAAGTAGCGTTGTGACATGGCTCCGGTGGATAGTGGATAGTTGGCAATCATGGGCAGGCTGTTACTACTGAGCGCATCGAGGACGACGGACTCCTCGATGCATGTCATTCGTGGGCTCAAGAAGACAGGTTGAAGCGACTGCAGTGGATGATCCTTGCTTAAGTTGTGAGGTGGAGGGAGTGTTTCCTGTGGTTTTGAAAGGGGAGTGGAGCCTAGGAGATGAGGCGGGGAATTCGGACAAGTGGGTGGATGTCGAAACGAGGGCTGAAGGGGAGTGTGTTGAGGTGAGGATTTGTGGGAGACTGGCGGCGGAGGTCAGGGGTGGATGTTCATCCTTGGCTTGGGGCTGCGGAGAATAATTATGGTTCGGTCGCGTTTGGTGGACCTGAGGGTTGAGTTGCTGTGTATCGTGATCTTCCTGTTGTTGACGCGGAAGGTCGGAAACTGGACAGAAACAGCTGGTGTCTCGAAGAGGACATTCGTGGATTTTGCAGTCGGGACAAAGAAGTTGGCGTGTACCATGGATGGCGTACCACGCCACGAGGACGAATTGACATAGAGTGGACATTCAATGAGAACGATGGCACCGGCAACGAGATATGCACTTCGCCTCCGGAGAGCCAGGGTGCTGTGGTCGCTTCCCAACGCTGGTGTTTCGTTAGGGATGGCGAAGAAGCCAGCGAAGCGAAAGTCGAATGCGGAATGTTGACACGGCGGCCGATAGAGACGTGAGGAGGGGACTTCCTGACCATGCGTCTTATGATAGAGGTTGGTTACCTGCATTTTGGGGACGCACACAGGAGGGCAAGGTCATGCAGAGGTTTCTACAATGCTTGTTCGCCAGCATGTGTTGAGCACATGGGCTCCATTGGGCATCATTTGGTCATCATTGGGCTCCATTCGAAGCTCAACTTCTGTGAGCCAGCAGAGTGTATAGCAAGTCATGAAGTCGATGACTGGGTTTGATAAAAGAATGCGTGGGATTGAGTACGACACGCATCATGATGCCCGGAACTTTGTCGTTTCGGTAGTTGACTTGGCCAAGTCTGGATAGATCGAGCTCTTGGTTACATTTCCTGAGGGAAGTTTACCTCAAAAGGCCATCCCATGCTATCCGGGTATCTCATGCATTTCATCTTGCATACATCCTCCGTAGTATTTTTTATGCACGCTCACCAACCAAAAGTTTTCGCAATCCGCATCTTGATGCCATCCCAGCTGTTGAGCTTCGGCCTCGCGTCAAGGTAGAAGCTGATACCACCTCCCCTTCCTTTGTAGAAGTCAATCACATATTCAATGCGCCTTCCACATCGATCGACGACCCAATCGTGGCGGTCGAAAGGTGCCGAGTATCCCATCAGGCTCTTCCATCTTGCCTTGGGCGTCAACTTCTTGCTGTCGCCAGCGAATGAGATAAGTCTGGGTCCACCACATCTTTCGCTACCCCAGCCTTCTTCCCATTTCCGGATCTCCTGCCACGCCTTCTCGTTGACGGCATTGTGTATGGGCACGATGCTATTCATATCACTCGGGTCTGCTTCATGCCCCTTCCTCCTCATGGCATTAAAGAACATCTCCTGGCTGGGATATACCCAATTGCCAGATTCTGTGTCATGGCCTGTATCGCCCTCATTATTTGCAGGTAATGCTGCTTTCTCGGCTGAGTTCAGCGCTAATGGTTCGTTTACAGCGCGTGGTATGGTAGAGATCTCGCGATCAGTAGATAATCGATATATTTTCGGTCGCTTGGCAGGCGGTTCTGTTGATGAGGTTTCGGTCGATGTCCACATGCCAGTGTCGAGAGAGAATCGTTGTCGCGCTCGCAATGCATGTTGCTCTCTAATATCGCCCGTATGCGATGGATCGTCTGCTCCAGTTTGCGGATGTTGTGGCGGCTTGGTCTCTCCTTTCGTCTTGGCCGCCTGCAGCCATGCTTCTCGCGTTTTGTGGTCCACTGGACAAGCAGCCTCTGGATCACCGCTCGTCCCTTTCATTGTGTCGATGGGATCGATAATGCCTTCCCTTTCACAGCCAGAAACTTGGAACAAAAGATTCGATGCAGGGAGCATGGGGCTGCACAGAGGCTCAAGCGGCAGGGCCCTCCCCCGCTCTTCCCTCTCCCTCGCGCCAACCTTCTTTCTCGCCTTGGAAATCGCAAAACAATCACTTGAGAAATCGTACGAGTGCCCGAACACCGATCTTACGCCGACCAGCATTTCCTGGCACAGACAGCCAGACGGAGGGATATATAGGCACAAGCTGTAGGCGTGCTGGAGTCCAACAAGACCAATGGCAGAGATTCACCGCGCATCGACATTTGCGCCAGTAAACATTGCGATTATCAAGTATGCCATGCCATGCCGCGCCATGCAGCCACCTCCAACATGTTATAATATAGCTAGCTTGCACTGACACGCGTATTGTGTAGATACTGGGGCAAGCGAGACACCAAACTGAACCTTCCTACCAATGGCTCCATCTCCGTCACTCTCTCCCAAGATGATCTTCGCACGCACACGACTGCATCGACTAGCTCCGACTTCACCGAGGATACGCTTACCCTGAACAATGAATCGCAGGACATCTCCGGCGCGCGAACACAGGCATGTCTGCGAGAGCTGCGTGCGCTCAGAAAGGAAGTGGAGAATCAAGATCCGAGCCTGCCCAACTTGAGTGATCTGAAGCTCAAGATTGTCAGTGAGAACAACTTCCCCACTGCGGCGGGTCTTGCAAGCTCTGCTGCAGGCTTTGCGGCGCTTGTCCGTGCCATCGCAAACCTCTACCAACTTCCTACCAGCCCGACAGACCTGTCCAGGATCGCTAGACAAGGCTCGGGCAGCGCATGCAGAAGCTTGATGGGTGGTTACGTGGCATGGCAGAAGGGCGAAGAGAAAGATGGCAGCGATAGCGTGGCATATGAGGTGTCGTCCGCATCACACTGGCCTGAAATGAGAGCTCTTATCCTGGTTGCCTCCGCAGACAAGAAGGACGTGAGCTCAACAGCAGGCATGCAACAAACCGTAGCAACCTCGGCCCTTTTCGAGCATCGCTATACTGAGGTGGTGCCGAAACGGATGAAGGCTATGGAGAAGGCCATCCACAATCGCGACTTTGAAAGCTTTGCCATTTTGACGATGAAGGACTCTAACAATTTCCACGCCTGCTGTCTTGATACCCAACCGCCCATCTTCTACCTGAACGACACCAGCAGAGCCGCGATCCGGATGTGCGAATATATCAACAGCCTTCACCCGGATGACAAGCCATATTGTGCCTATACATTCGATGCAGGCCCGAACGCTGTGGTATATTACCTGACAGAGCACGAGGATATCGTTGCTGGAGCATTCAAATCCATTCTGGACGGCAAGACTGGCTGGGAAGGACCACGCGGCCAACACGTGAAGCCACACCCAGGTGTCGAAGGTATTGATCTTGTAGCAGAAAAGCTGCAGGCTGGCATTTCGAGAGTCATCCTGACATCGGTCAGCGATGGTCCGAGGAAGACCAACGAGCATCTCTGTTAGAGACGAGCAGGCTTTTCTTTTTCTTTTCGGCTTGTAAAGGACATCATGAAGCATTCGACAGTACTTGGAATATGCATTGTTGAGATACCAGATACCACTATCGTTAGCTTTGAATGCATTGGACAGCGTCGTCGAGGCTGCCGCGAGGGAGACCGAGCAAACCTAAACCTCTCGCAATATCATTTCCTGAGTGAATGATTTCGCAGGGCCAGCGTGCCTGCTTGGCACGTTCTCTGCCCACGACATTCGCTTGAGTCGCTGAGCTTGAAGATTGCGAAGAGCACGAGATAGAACAGACTAACCTTCCAAGTTTCTACTACTTACCCCCGAGTATCGCTCACAGCCCCGCCTAGCTCGCGTGGTTGGCCGAGAAGTTGGCCGCAATGGAACTTCCTATCGCGTCTCGCTGTTACCCTCCTTCATTGAGGCTCGCAACTAAATATACTTTATTCTCAATTTCAAAAACCCCGGGCTTTTTGAGCCGCACCACTTCAGTTTTGCCTTCTATACTAATTTTGGTGGTAAACCGAACCATTGCTGTCGCTGTATCCAGTCTATAGTTCTAATAATTGGTATTGTTACTTGTTTATATTATTGCCGTCGCTCTACCGATTTTCTACCGCCGCCCTACGCTGTAGACCTCGCCGTCGCTATAGCGCCCTTTACCGAGCAGGATAAAGCTATTATCGGCCAGTTGTTAGAAGAAGGTATGCCGCTAAAGGAGGTGTAGTTATCGTAGCGTACGAAGCACGATAGAGGGTCGTTCACTGCTATTAAGCGATATAGCACCAACTTAAAGAGATCTAGTACGGTTTATAGCTACTAAGGCAAACTAGGGCGACCGAAGAGGGTGCTACTACATATAAGAGACTTTATAATCGACATTCTAGCCGCTAAAGGCACTACCTAGACAGATGAGATATAGGACTATATCGTACTCGAATTTGGCGTATATATTGGCCTTACTACTATCTAGAGGTATATTAAGAATAAGGACTTTACCTATAAAGTAGTATAACGACGGGCTTCTTAAAGAGACCTACAAGCTAAAATAGCGTACCTAGTTAATATAGAACACTAGACAAGTAAGCAGATTGTCTTTATAGATAAGACCTATTATAGTAAGCGCTCTGCTATCCGAAGGCGTAGATAGGCACCTAAAGGCTTTCCTTATATTACAAAGGACTATCTATACCGTCTATAGCGATATAGTGTCTTACTAGTATACTCGGTCGATAGATAGCTTCTAGGAGCAACACTTATTAAGTAAGGCAGTATCGATAGCGATGCCTTTATTATATAGATTTAAGAGAAGGTCTTACCGCTTTATAATCTATATCTAGGTCTACGGTCTATTATTATAATAGATAACTGCTCGACTTACTAACGAGACTACGTACGCACTATTTGTCGCTAGTATAGCGTTCTTGCCGACTTCTTGCCGCTATATTCGCTATATCTAAATCTAATAGAGCCATTATTTAGACTCTTTAAGCACTAGATAAAGAGACACTAGGATATAATGCCTAAATACAGCCGGATAGACGATTAGTAGTCTCAATTCGAGCGTTATCTTTAGCTAGCAATTAATAGTTAGGGGGAAGGTATAGACTATAGGAAGTTGTTCCGCTACGCCGGTATAACTTGTCAAGAAGACAGGCCGATAGAATAGGTTCTAACCGTCAGATCCGAGCGTTTGAATATAGATTCGAAAGGTCTTAGTCGGCGCTATAACCCTATTAAGAAAGTGTGTTAATCTATACAATATTAGTAGTGTAGTATCGCTTCGGAGTAGTAGGTTGCATTTCGTAATAGCCGCTATCTATACTTGTCGCTTAAAAGCCGAGTCTACAAACTTCGAGTGCAAAGAATATAACGTATAGAGCTCGTATCGGCACGCCATTTTTTTAATAAATACTTTATTACGTATAGAATGCAATAGGAAATGTATCTTAAATAAATACTACAGTCGGTTAATGTAGTGTAGCTATAAATGCGAAAAAGCGATAAAATTTAGGGTCTAGAGGCGGGGTCTTAGCGGCGCGATATAGAGAAGCTAGCTATCGAAGTGTATATAGTATACACTACGCAACGTGCATATAGAAAAACTGAATAGACAGAATACAAGTATTATATATAGACTAACTCATCTGCAATTTTCGTAACTATATCTTATATAGTAGTAGTGTTATATTGCGATTAGAAAGCTATCCTCCTTAGCTTACTATAGCCTCCCCCTCTTCTTCTTGTCTACCCTCTAGTAGATTCGACATATTAGCTGGAATACGACTCGCTCTATAGTCCTTTAAGAACCTATTTACCTTAGACTCGAGCCTAAACCTAGCACTATTAGTAGATACGTTGTTTGCCTTTAACTCCTTAAACTTAGTTAGATTCTTAACCATTTAGAGGCACCAATCTTCTTTTGCTATCTAATTCTGCGCATCTCGTATAGATACGGCTATAGCTAGAAAGCGTGTACGAAGCTAGCGACAATAGATAATAAGGACAGCTGTCTCGGTCTTATTATCTGCAATAGGCGGACTCGACCGTAGAGCACCTTACTAAGCCTATAGAGCGGCATTAGATTGCTAATAATAGTATAGCGGCGGCGGCGGCGGATAAGTCTATAGATTGACAGGCGGTTAAGGCGCTCTATAATAGTAGTATTGCTGTTATACTAACGGCTCTTGCTGCGGTAGCTTCTTGCCTTTGCTAGAGCCCTTGCCTTAGTTATTCTTATAAGGATGCTTCAGCTTATAGCACCTTATTATCTCCTTAATAACCTTCTTATTTAGTGCCTCTACTAAGCACTTCTTATCGAGCGCTATTTGATCCCTCTAGAAGCTAAGGATTGATGCTATAAGCTTATAATGTTGACCTATTAGCTCGTAATAACCTATAACGTTGGCTTGCCTTCCAAGACTGCACTATAGATTAACGTAGGCGTAGGCCTTGCGGATAGCTTTATATTAAAGAAGGCGGTTGTTAGTCTCTAGCAGAGTTAGCTTATTAGTATCCTTCTTCTTACTAACCTTAGGTACTCGAATTGGTAGACTTAAAGGCAGGTCGACAATATTAGAAGATAGGGTAGTGTTAGCCGGTAAAGAAGGCTGCTATTGCACTACTAGTTTGTCGTTAATCTTCGGACCTAATTTAGAAAGAGGTGTGTCGGCTCTATAGCTCTAGTATTTAGTTAGAAGGACCTGAATACTAAGGGGCTTTATCTAACGGAAGTATTTAACGATACTATTACCTTTGCCTATCTATTCTTGCTACCCTTAAGTTATAGTAAAGTCCTTAGATTGAGGTTTGCTATTCTTCAATAGTAGGGCTTGTATCTCGCAGTAGCGGCGGACTAAATAGTAGTAGAAGCCCTTTGCTATAGTATAGACGGTTATAGTAGTCTTAGCAGCGTCGATTAGCCGCCTAATACTAGCAGCGCTATAGCTTATAATGCTATAGTCCTTGCTAAGATCTTTACGGTTAAAATAGACCTATAACTCGAGGTTGATAGCGTCCGGCTCTAGTAAAGGCTTTACCGCCTTCCTTACTAAAGGAGTAGCTTCTATAGTAGTAGAAGAAACAGCCTTCGAAGAAGCCCTAGTAGGCGCCTTAGAAGAGGAAGAAGAAGAAGCCTTCTTCTTCTTAATCGGCCTTAGTGTAGCTTCTTTAATAATAGCCTTCTTAAGCGGCTTCCTAACCCTCTTAGTAACCTATGTAATAGTAACCTCTTTAGGAAGAGATTGTTCTTCTTCCTGCCCTTCTTCCTGCCCTTCTTCCTACCCTTCTTCCTACCCTTCTTCCTACCCTTCTTCCTGCCCTTCTTCTTGTCTACCTTCTTATCTACCTTCTTGTCTACCTTCTTATTTACTTTCTTATCCTTCTACTAGCAAAGTATTACTTATTAGCGAGCTAATGTCGCTTTGTTGAGTCTTAGAGACCTTAGTAGCCTTGAACTAGACCTTCTTTGCCTTCTTCGAGGCACTCGCTATTAAACTTGCCCGTAAAGTCCTCCTCTTGCTCGTAGCCTAACTACTAATCTAAGTAGCGGCAACCTCCGCTTCCAGCTGTTTTGCTAGCAAATAAGCATCCTTAGCGCTCTTCGGCGTACGCTTCCTAGGAGGTATAAGAGGTAGTAGTAGGGACTGTCGAGCGGGTAGCTATAATAGGGGTTCTCGAGGTTGACTTCTTATCCTTCTAGCCTACCTCCTTACGTCCTGTAACAAGGCAATATCTACTAGATCTCTTTTAGCATATATTAGTCCTTCTTCCGCCGCTATAATATCGCTAGTATTGTCGTATGTTAAGGCGTCGCTTAGTAGTAGTATTTCTTCTAGAATTAGAGGTAGAGGAATCGTCTAGATTTGTAAGTCGATCTAGTCCTACGTATCTATACCTTATAGTAGAGGCAATAGCGATAAAGATTCTGCTTAGGTTAGGTATTAACTCGGTCTCTTGCGATTATAGTATATATTGGTGTATTAGACAGACTGTGGAATGCTAAGAAAGCTGAAAATAGATGTTCAGCGGGTCCGCTTAGTAACTAGCTATACGCCCTATTATCTGCGCCGTATTCTTACGTAATAATAACACTACTAATTAAGTCGATATCTATATCAGAATGAAGCGGCGAGCTTATAGTATTTATTGGGAAATCAATGGAATTTATTGGTGTAGTATGCCGGGAGTGGTAGTAGAATTAGTGTAGTAGAATACATAGGGGCACCATTAGCTGCCCCGCGGCTGAAAAGCCCGGGGTTTTTGGCACTCCTCACGAGATTGGCCTAACCCACGGCCATGCCGCCTCAAAACCAATCGCAAGATCCATAGCCTTCTACACCTGGATGTTCTCCACCACAGCAAAACTTAGCTGGCCTGAAGTCCGGAATCTCGCCTCAGACTTCGAACCGGTAATTCGGAAAAAATGGCCCGAATATCTCGAAGAAATGTCTGGCATAGCAGAAGGCGCTGGCGTCGCACTTGAAGATATAATCGCCATAAATGTCCGGACGAAAATCACGTTTGGACTGTATGATGAGAGGGGGAGTGATGGTTGTACTGCCTTGAGTTGGAAGACGGGAGGGGAGGGAGCTATTGGGAGCTGGTTGGCACAGAATTGGGATTGGAATCCAAGACAACAGGAGAATTTGATACAGCTCACAATTGAGCAAGAGGGAAAGCCGACGATTAAGATGATGACGGAAGCAGGGCTGATCGGGAAAATTGGAATCAATTCTGAAGGTGTCGGGGTTTGCTTGAATGCGATTAAAGCTCGGGGAATGGATCCGACTCGTTTACCTTGTCATTTGGGGTTGAGGATGGTTTTGGAAAGTCGGAGTCGGGATGAGGCTGTGGCGAAATTGGAGAAATTTGGGATCGCGAGTGCGTGTCACATGCTCGTTGCCGATGGGGAGAGTGGTGGGATCGGATTGGAATGGAGTTCAGTGGAGGTTAGGAAGGTGGTGCAGAATTCGAAAGGACAGGTCTTTCACTCGAATCATTGGCTGGAGAAGCATGAGGGGGTAGGACAGGATACGAACTGGTTGGAGGATAGTGGCTACAGGGTTAAGAGGATTGAGGAATTGTGTGGACTAATCAAAGATCAGGAGGTGGGCAGGGACGTGTTGTTCGAGAAGGTTTTTAAGGATGTTGGAAATTGGCCTGGTGCGATTTGTAGGAGTGCTGAAGGGAAGAGTATGAGTGCGACTTTGTTCAATATCATCATGGATTTGAAGGAGAAGAAGGCGTATGTTAGTGTGGGTAGGCCGGTTGAGCCTTTGGGGGCGTTCACTTTGAGCTTTGATTGAGAGGTGGTCTCAGGGCGATGTGTTCTGCATTGATCGCATGGACGCCTGCATCCATTTGAGGATCGAGATTCATTTCTAGTTGACAGTGACTGTCGCTGAGCCAGAGCCCTGTTAAGTTTCAACAGCGAAGATCTGGTCGTTCAAAGTTCCCAATTTAAGACCCAAAGCAGCCCAAGTGTTGAAATGATTTGTGATGTTGTCTTTAAGTCCTCCGTAAGGTGGAAGGCATGACCTTGACCCTTGCAAGAACGGCTCATCTGCAGCCGTTGGCGCCGGCAACGTCACGTCCATAACAGCCCTGACCTCTCTCCACCTTGTCGTCGTGTTCTTTCCTACGTACGAATCATGTCAGGCAAGTACTCATTCTTTTCTCTCACTGATGCGGCAGCAGAACGAGCAGTGTGAAAGTTCAGTCAGCTGTGAGCATGGCGTCCCGAGTCCCGACAATGCTCGTCTTCGACACTGTGTGCATCTTGAGATTGTGCATAAGACTCCCTTGAAGCACTGCTGTGATCGTGACGCTGGACAGCACGTGAGCTGCCTCTCCCCCTACCCCCTCATGGAGCATGTCTGCTTGGAGACGTAACCGAAGACATGAATGTTTCCAATCAACTTCAATTGCAGGACTTTTGCAAGAACCCGAGCCCCCGACTTCAGCCTCGGCAACGACAACTATCGCCCTTCGATAAAGACTGGGACAAATCTCAGGTGAGGAGCAGTAGGCTACCGTTGATGCCATGATGCCTAGGCTCACTGGAGGACTTGGTCGGCTCTGCCATGGCTGGAGACACTCCTTTACAAGAATAAGTATGCACAGACCTCGCAGAAGACAAGCAACCCTCTGGCGACACTGGCAATACAGCGTATCAAAGAGGGAATGTCGGGAGAAAAGACTGCGACAGGGCGGGATCTACTTGGAAGATATCTGGCAGCGAGTCAGCAAGCACCGAACGTGATCGCTCCAAAAGATGTCCTCGCCCTCACGATCAGTACTATTCATGCTGGATCCGAGAGCACAGCCTTATTTTCATCATTCTTGTTAATACATCTGCTCAAAGAACGTCAAGTTCTTGCAAACCTAGAAAATGAGCTGCAGAATGCCAAGCTTGCAGTTCCGCCGGCTTTCAATGACATTGATAAGCTGCCATACCTCGATGCTGTCATTCACGAAGGCTTGTAAGTTGGAAGTATAGTGCATACCCCAAGTCTATATATGCTGACGTTCACCCAGGCGCCTGCAGACCAATCCAAACTGCACTGAGCGGACTGTCTCCTCACGATGCTAATATCTGTGGCACTATGATCCCCGCTGGTACAGACGTTTCTGTATCAGAAGTGCTTACCGCACGCGATAAGACCTTGTATGGCCTGGATGCTGGAAGCTTTCGTTCCGAACGATGGTTGCATGTCGACAAGGCTAGGAAAGCCGAGATGGATCGAGCTACATTTGCATTCGCATACGGACGTCGAGTATGCACTAGACAGCACTTGGCTATGATAGAGGTGAAGAAGCTGATTGCATCGTTGATCATGTCATTTACGGTATGTCTGCTTCAATTGGTCGGCGATCTTGCTGCTTACTCTCGCGTGGCAGTTTGAACCAGTAGACGTTGGTATAGGAGGATACGACGGAGCATTACGCATTATGGAGCTGGACGTTCGACTCGCGCCAAAGAATTGTGCGCTTCTCATTTGTTATGAAGTTGAGATTGATGATGATTATGTAGAGGAGGAAGGCTAATTACAAAGGTAGGCCGTCGCCCCATTAGTTAGCTAGCCCCTGGACCGTTACTTCCTTGTTCCGTAACAGTCTGCCCTAAACAAAAGAAAAGGTACGCCCTCGTGCCGTTGCTCTAACTCACTCGTCTCGTTGCCTAGATGCCAATTATCTGGTAGGCTGTCTACTGCTTAGGCTAGTCTCGTTGCCTAGATGCTAATTATCTAGTAGGCCGTCTACTGCTTAGGTATAATTCTATTATCCACTTAAAGGCATGCTAGTGCCTTAGCCTTCCTCTCCGCAAATTCCGCTCGTTTCTTATTAGCCTTAGCTTCTATAGCTGCCTCCTCGCGTTCTAACTAGGCCTAGACTTGCGCTCGTCGCGTTTCCTTCTTAGCTACTATCTGTCGGTTAGTATATCGCTTTACGGACGGGTCGGTTAGGTCGGTCTGCACTCCTACGTAGCGGTAGAGCACCTATCCTTAGTTGCTTCCGAATTCGGCGCTAAGGTCGTCCGTTAGCTAGGTAGCCTTAGTCGTTACTACTAATAAACCTTCCTCTCCGGGCTTCTATTTAGGCGGGTTTGGATTGTTGTTACCCCTATTGTCGGCAGCCTTCCTAGTCGCGCGGCGGTTGTCTCTATTTTCGAGTGCCTCGAAGTTAGCTAATAATACTCTAGGGTCTATAGGGTCCGCGGAGTGTTCGTCGTTAGCGACTATTTGCCTTACCCCGTACTATCGCCTAACGAACGCAACTCGTACGGCCTTAGAGTCGTAACGTACTATAAACTGTTGCTAGATAAGTTCCTATAATAGCTTATTATGCTCGGACTGTAGCTTCTTCGTTAAGTTCTTAACCTTCTTAGGTGCTCGCTCGGTGCCGTCGTCGGCTATATTTCTCTATATAACTAGGTCGATATTAAGTGTCTCGTTCGGCGCTAGGTAGAGTATATTAACCTCGATGTCTCGCATTATATCTCTCCGCTCTCTAAGCATCTTATTGCGTTTGTCCTTTTTCTTAGGCGATAGTTTAGCTAGCTCCGCCCTCGAAGTCCGATCCTTAGTAGGCTAAGCCGTTAGGGCTCTAGCTAGGGCTCTCTTCTTGTCCGACGACGTCGTCTCTATTATAGGCGATTCCTTTAGGGTAATAGGTATCGCCTTCTTAGCCTTCTTCGTTAGCCGAGAAGTTAGAGTTACTTCGTCTTCGTCGACAAGTCGGCCCTTACCCTTATTCTTTCTCTTCTTAGTACTAGATTTCGATAGCGTCTCCTCGTTAGCGTTAAATAGCGTAAACGATAGATAGGCGTTAACTAGCGTCTATAAGATAGGTTCCGGGTCGTCGACAACCTCGTTGTTTCCCTTATTCTCGTTATTAGAGACAGGTTCCGTTGCTAATCCTGCCTCGCTTCGGAATTAATCGATTCTCTATTCTACCGTTATATTACTCTCTTACGGTTGCGGTCTCCGCAAAGGGAAGAAGGTATTAGGCTCGTCGGAGTCGGGCTCGTTAAGAAGGTTATAGGCGTCGCCCTTGCGAGCTAGGCGATAGTCGTTAAGGTCGATATCCGAGAGGTTATTAAGAGCGCCGTTACTTATAGAAACGTCCTTACCGTTACCCTCGCTAGCGTTGCCTAGCAAATTGGCAGCGGTAGTATCGTTAGTAGCGGCTGTCTCGCCGTTAGCCTCGGCGGTATACGTAAGGAGATCGTTAGGTAGCGTCGTATCGTTAGTATTAGCCTTACTAGCGTCGGCGGTCTACGCGAGGAGGTCGTTAGGCAAAGCCGCATCGCGTACGTTAGGTATCTCGCGCAGTAGCGTCTCCTACTTTATATCGTGTTCTATAGCTTTACGCTAATAGAAACGGTATCGAATGTCGGGAGCAAGCTCTCGCATTAGCGATAGCAATATATTCGCGGAAAGTTGTTATTATAGTAAAGTTGCTATAGCGAAGTTGTTTTGAAATAAAGTGAACTTAGTGTACGCGCAAGCTTAGTGCACGCGCTCCTACCTATTGCAGAAGTAAAGCGAACTACGTAGAAGCTACGCGAGAGGAAATGTATATAAGATAAGTCTATTATATAATGCTCCGTTGCTATCCTAGCGGTAGCGACGATCGTAGGCCTTTACTATCGTTAGTGGAATGCCTTCCGTTCGTACCTGCTTATTAGCTCTAGCTCCTACGTTCTTCTATCTAACTAGATATTCTATAACCTCCTTCCTGTACCGACCGACTCGTCGGACTCGTCGGTCTCTTAGCGCTTCTATTTCCGGTAGGGCGTCTCCCTATTCGATACGCATCCTTAAGGGTTGCCTCGTTACTCGCTTATACGGATCCTTAGTATTAGGGTGCGGCTCGAGTTCCGTAATCGAGACTACTAGGTGTATCTTCTACGTCTTTAGCAGGTCAATCTAGCAGGCTAGTCCGGTGCTTATAACCTTCGTTACCTTATATAGCCCGATCCTTAGAGGTATAAGCTTTCGGTTGCTAACTCTAGGGATAGCGTAATTCTTAAGCCGTAAGTAGACCATGTCGCCTACTACAGGCTTCTAAGCTACGTGCTAAGAGTCGTACCGTTGCTTTATAGCGGCCTATATATAGGCGATGTTGTTCTCCGCCTTAGCTCGGTAGATATCCCGTTCCTTTGCTAAATCCGTCGCGCTAGTCGTTACTATTTAGGCTAGTTCCCTAGGGTTGAAACCTATTAACACCTAGTTCGGTAATATACTAGTTAAGGCGTTAACTGAATTGTTGAGAACTAGCTACATATACGGCGTTACGTATTCTAATTCTAGATCTCTATTAGGATGTTAGGTAAGGAAGTATCGTAGGGCAATCTCGACGGTCTAGTTCGTTCTCTTAGACTAGCTATTAGCCTATAGGTGATAGGCAGTCGTTATTAGAAGCTTGACGTTTATCCGCTTGAAAATAGCCTTTTATATCTCGGACGTAAACTTCGGGTCTCTATCGGAGATAATTACGGTCGGTAGGCCCTAATTGTATCGGAACAGCTCGTCGAGTAAGCGGTTAGCCTAAGCCTCCGCTAAGTACGTATCGTTGCTAGTGATTAGGAGTACCTATTTCGTATACTTATCCGTTGCTGTAAGTATAGCGTTAGTTTCCTAAGCGGAAAGGGACACTATAAAGTCAATCGTAATCGTATAGAAGGGTACTAGCGGGGATAGTATAGGGTTTAAGGACCTATACGGCTTATGTCGCTTAGTCTGCAACTCTAAGTAGTCCTAATAGTAACTTAGATACTTTTTTAGTCTCTTAGCTAGTTTCCGGATGTAGTACTAGTCATTTACTCGGGTATAGGCACGGTGAAAACCGATATAGTACTAGTTATCGTATACGCTACTAAAAATGTTACCCTCTAATGCCTTTAGGATACACAATCGTCGGTCGCCTAAATAGGGCTTATCGAGCTATACTAGGCCTTCGTCGTCGACTAAGAAGCTAGTAGAGCCTAGTTCCGCGTTCTATACTATTGCTTTAATGTTGCTCTAGTATTTATCTTCTTCGTATACTTCGATAAGCTATTGCTTAAATACGTCGTCTATTTCTAGTATTATTACTCCGCAAACTAGTTCGTCGAATACGTCGCCCTCCGGGAGATAATCGTCGGTCGTTTCTAGGCGCGACAAGGCGTCTAGTACGATGTATTCTCGCCCTAGCTTATAGACTACCTTTAGTAGGAAAAGGGAAAGATATTGCGACGATCTCGTTAGTCGGTTGTTAAGCTTATTAACTAATAACGAAGTTAAGGCAGTCTAGCTTACGATCCCTAGCGTTACCGCGTAATCCGTAAGTACCGTTACTACTAACTCGCATGCCTCGACTATCTATCGTATACGTTTAATCGTCTATACTAGGCAGGCGACCTCTAATTCGGTCGGCTAGTACCGTCGCTCCGTACTAGAAAGAGTCTTTAATAAAAACAAAATTAGTTGCGTCTTTGTCCTACCGGGATTTTTAGTAATAGCGTCGCCCTCGACGTAGGCTACTATTACGCCGAAGCCTCGTTTCTTAGATGCGTCGATATAGATATATAGCGGCCGGTGTCTCGCGAAATGATATAGTATCGTTAGCTTAGTAAAGGCCTCTTATAGGGCTTGAAACGTAGCTAGTCGTTCCTCTGTTTCCTCGATTAGTGTCGTTACCGTATAATGTCGACGTGCCTAGCTGGCCGCGGGCGCTCTCTTAAGCCTCTCTGTCTTTATCTTCTAGAGCGGTTCCGCTAGTTAAGCGTAGTACTTAATGTACGTCCTTAGCTATCTAGTTAGTCTAAGATAGTGCTCTAGGTCCTTTAGCGTTCGTAGGAACTTAAGCTTAGCAATAGCCGCTAGTTTGTCGGCCGGCGTCGCGGTACCTAAGGCGTCGACTCGTTGCCCTAGTAGCTAGATCGATAGGTACCCGATAAAAGCCTTTTCAGGTGCTATAGTTAGCTAGTATCGGTTTAAGGCCTCGAATACCTTATCGAGATAGTATAGATGTTCCTCTAGCGTCTTGCTATAGATAACGATATCGTTAATAAAAGCCTTAGCGAACCCGTTAAGTCCTTCCGTTCGTAGGATTCTGTCGATCTATCGCTATACGTAGGGCGGCGCGTTCTTGTAACCTATTACGGCGACGTTATACATTTCCTAGCCTCTATAGGAAACTACTAAGAGCTTGTATCGGTCTTCCGCTTTTACTAACTATTAGTAGAAGAACGACTTTATATCGATCGTCGAGATGAATTTAGCGCCTTAGACAGCGGCTAAAACGTCGCCCTATAGCGGCATCGGGTAGGCGTCCGTTATCGTAATGCGGTTAAGTCTACGGATATCGACAACCGCTCTGCCTTTACGGCCGTTCTTTAATTCCTTCTAGACTACGAACGTAGGGAACCTAAAAGGTATTAGTTCCTTCGTCTAGGACATCCGTCCTTAGTCGTGCAGCTTGTCGTAGACGCTGTCGATAATCTCTCGTTCCTTCGGGCCTATAGGGTACACCTTGTATACTAATTTGGCGCTAGCAGCCTTCCAGTCGCTAACTAAAGGGATAGTTATTTAGTCCTCTTTAGGAACCTTAGCGAAACGGCCGTTATCGATAAACAGCTGCCTATGTTTTTCTAGCAAGGCGTTGTATTTAGCTCTCGTCTCGTCGTCGCTATATAGTATAGCGCCTATTAGGCCTAGCTTTTCCTTTGCCCCTAGTTGCGCTAGCGGCGGCGACTCGTCGTCTTCTTCTCGTTCGGTAGTTACTATAAAGTATAGTAACACTCGAGCTCGTCCTTTCTAAGCGATATTTATCGTTACTAGGGTGCCATTTGGGAATTGCATTTCCTTATTAGCAAAAGATAAGACTAACTTCTCCTTTTCTATTAAGCGCGTTCCTAATAGTACGCTAGCCGGTAGGCTATTAATTAAGTATACTCTTGTCGATATCGTAACCCCGTTATTAAAAACTATATTAATAGGCATCTTATTAGACAGGCTCGTAATCTTGTTGCCTACTTCTCGGATCCGTCGCGGGCGCGTTGCCTTTAAAGGAACTCTATTAGGGTACCGCTGCTAGGCCAATATTCGATCTATAAGAGTAATTAGGTTACCGCTATCTAGGCATATTTCTGTTGCTATATTGTTTATCTAAGCTAACATAGTTGCGTGTCTAGTAGTTGTACCCGTTTGCTTATCGGATCTAGTAGCCGCTAGGATTTTTGTCCCCGTCCTTTGCGGTATTTAGTCCGCAGATGCGAATAGAGCCGGTTAGACGTCTTAAACTCCTAACGGCATACCGTACAAGTATATTTGTTGTATACCAGACTTAGATGTCCTACGTTAAGAATATCTACCGCATTAGCGTTCGTATTAGTATCGTCGTCGCCTCCTTTATCGGATAAGTACTCGTTAGAGTCGACGTAGTTAGCATCCTATTCCTCGCCCTCTAATTCCGGCTCGTCGTCTACCTAGTAAGAGTCTTGCTTCTTGCGCTAGGCGAAGGGCTTTATAGGCTAAGGCTTAGCCTTATCGAAGGTCTTCTTAGCGCCCCTTAATTGTAACTTATCGCTTGCTAATTCTTAACGGTCTTAAGGCTTCCGAAAGCGTTAGTCGCTTCGACCTTAGTCGCGGCGAGGCGGCGGCTACTATAAGGCACGTACGTTGTTAGTCTAAGGCTTCCTAGAGCCTTCCTATCGGTCCGTCTACTAACGGTTCGATCGGAAGTCCCGGTCTCGATTACGCTATAGTTGCTTACCCGCTAAGCGGGTAGGGAAAGGTCTCGATAAAGAACCGGCAATAGCGGTATTGCGTCGGTTCAATCGTCGTACTAGTTTAGCCTACGCCGGTTGCTCTTCCTTAAGCCTCTATCTAAATAATACAATAGTGTCCTCTTCTCTCGGTAGCCGAATGCTACGTCGCAGCTCTATATCGATGCCGTTCTATATATACGTTAGCTACTAGCTCTTATTAACTAGGCCGGCGTTACGTATATAGCGTATTACCTCGCTAAGGTAGGCATCTATACTGCGTCGGTTGCCTGCGTCTAACAACGTGTATTTAAGCCGCGTTAGCTCGTTTAGCGACTCGGACAGTAGCGTCTAGAAGTTCTCTTATAGCGTCGTAAACTAATAGTCTAGACCTAGTGCGTAGCGAAGGCCCTATTTCGCTAGGTTGTTAAGCGTGTTAGTATACTAGGTTAAGGCCGTTCCTCGTAGTAGTGCGGGGATTCTAGACTTAACTCGATCGTTGCTACGATACGCTATAATATCCTTAAGTCGTTTAATAAAGATGTTAACATCTCGGAAGAAGGTGTCGGATCCTACGACCGTCGGGTCGTCCTCTCCCTTTAGTAGGTCTAGTTAGAAGAAACTAATTTCCTAGTTACGCATTCGGTCTAGGTTGCTAGCCTCGTTAAAGACAGGCGTACTATTTCTATTTCTGTTGCCTGCCGTAGGAGCCTAGCCTGCTAGTACCTAGGCAACTGCCGCCTAAATAGCGGCTATCATTTCCGCCGAGATAGCGTCCCCTTGTTCCGCTATAGCAGGAGGCTAGACGCTCGTTGCTTATATAGTTGCTATTATAGGTCGAGCCGTCGACGTAGTCGAAGGTCGTATACTTATAGTAGAGGTCGCTATTGTTATTGTTATATTAGGCGATTGCCGTAGAGGCTGTTATAATCCAGAGGCAGCTGCCCTTAGCTTAGAAGGTAACTTCCCTTTCGTAGGTAAGTGCCTTCCGGACCTGCTTATAGTAGCAGTCGTAGATAGTAAATTTAGCCTATACTTTCTTCTATAGAACTATAGGAAAGAGTTCTATATAGGCTGTCGGTATACCGGTAAGTCGAGCCACTTAGGGGGATAGGTCTCTATCGCCTAGAAGTCCTATAGAAAGCGTCCTAGATAAGACCTAACCTCCGCGTTAGTAATCCGGTTAGTTCGCGCGTATATAGCGAAAGCGCGGTCGTCGTCTATAGGGTTTATATAGACATGCGTTGCTCCGTATATACGGTCGCAATGTAGTAAGGGGAAGTGGTTGGGCTCTTAGTCGGCTTAGCCCCGATCTAGTTGCCTCGTCCTAGTAGCGTCTCGAATAACTCCTAGTAGCGCGAGGGTTTAGTGTAAGCGAAGCTACTAATTGTTATAAAGTTGAGATTAATAATAATTATGTAGAGGAGGAAGGCTAATTACAAAGGTAGGCCGTCGCCCTATTAGTCAGCCAGCCCCTAGACCGTTACTTCCTTATTCCGTAACATCATTGAGAGCATTGGATATTTGGTGCCTGACAGCCTGATCAACGCTCCAAAGCATCAACAAGAAGAAAGGTTTGACGGCTTCGACTCCAGGCTCGTCTTTTCTGCTCTCACAGCTCCACCACTACCTTCTGAGCACTAACGCCCTTTGCATGCCTGTCGATACCATCTTGAATCTTCTCCAGCCCCTTGCCTACCACTAAAGGTTTCGGACGACACTTCAAGGCGCCACTTTGCAAAGCCTTCGGCACCCACTCCTCCCAGACGGGAAAAGCAAATTCACCAAGCGCAAATACCATCTTCGCTTGCACGTGTGCTGGTACGTTCTCGGGCAGCGGATGAGTGATGAGCAAGTTACTGCTACCAAGCTTTTCCAAGATCTTGTAGTCATTCGCATATGTATCCTCCCACGAGATTGTATCGAAAATACCGACGAAAGTGTCCTTCTTGCCTATGGATTCTACCACTTTCTCGACCAGATCCGGATCCTTCTGGTCCAAAACCTGGCTCGCACCCATCTCCTTGCAAAGACTGTGATTTCTCTCGCTTGCGATCGCAACGATCCTGATGCCTGCAGCACTTGCGAGCTGAGTTGCTGTGAGACCGACAGAAGAAGATCCTCCATATACCAACAGCACTTTGCCGGTTGTTATAGCATCATCTGAAGGCAGCGGCAATCGAAGGTGATCATATAGGGCAGAAGCTGCTGTTCCAATTGCCACTGGCATCGCGACGCCTTCGATGAATGAGATGCTAGGAGGCAGTACGGCTGTCACACCGGCCTTGACTCTTGAGTACTCCGCAAAGCCAGCATCTTCATGCTGTTTGGTGGCCGTTCCCCAGCAGTGAGCGATGACCCTGTCGCCTTTCTGAAATTTTGCGACCCCAGATCCGACTTCATAGACCTCACCGGCAATGTCGTGGCCGAGAACGACGGGGAACGACTCCAGAAAGGCTCCGGTTGCTTGTTGAAAACCATCGAATGGGTTGATGGCAATGGCGTGGTTACGAATGACAAGCTCGCCTGCTCCTGCTTTTGGCATCGGACTTGCGCCGACTCTCAGAGGTTTCCCGGTCCCGTCAAGGAATGCTGCGTGGTTCTGTGCCATTGTGACGATGCTCCTCTCTCAGTCAATCTCCTGCTTTGAAGAAGCCAATGCTGTATTTCAAAGGACATTGCCTACTTATAGGCATCCATTGCGGCATCTTATCAAGTCTTCCACTCCGCTCTTCTCGAACCCCTTCACGACTCATAGCCAATTGCTTTGGAAACACTGCTCTGGAGCTAGAATAAGCTTCCATACATTTCTTTCAGCCGCAGCAGAAACCTAAAATGAGTGCAAGCTTTAGCTGAATGCAGGAACGATCTTACAAATCCCGGAGTTAGATCTTACGGAAGAAGACGGCAGGCAAGTCCTGCTTCGGCGAGCGATGAATAAGCCATTGTGAAAGTCCGGTATTGCTAATAAGTTCGCTTGTTCGGGAAGATGATACGGCCAGTCCAGGTGCTCGAAATGGAGAATTGTAAGAACTGCAGATTAGCTAACTCTATGGCTCGGCAGAAAAGGTGAAAACACTCAGCTATTGCGAAATTACACGACGTTTGCTGGGTCATTGTTCTTCTCCATGCTATTCTCAGACTCTTCTCTAGAGAGAACAGTGTTGCGTCCCAGCTGCAAATCTCCCAAAGCCTGTGGAGTATTCTAATCAATGATCATAGAAACATCTCCAACTCGCTTAAATTAATCCAACCTCTGGCAACCAACTAACTTGCTACGGGCGACTACGCTCGGCCGTCGTCAGATAGAAGTGGATTCCGATCCCGAGGACGTAAAGGACGAGAGCCACGATGCCGTGCCGCTAGCGCCGAAACTTGCATTGATAGCTGCTCGGTGCAATCTCTTTAGGAGTGCCGCCCGCCGAAGTCTGATGTTGACGGCAACCCAAGCAGGATAGAGGAGAGGTGCGATGATATTTTCGCCGATGTATGCGAATTTTCGGCTCGGCATGGCATGGCATGGCGTGGCGTGGTGAAGTAGAAACTTCCGAAGAGAAGTCATGATGTGGTATGCAGGTATCTGGTATCGAGTTATGTACATAGGACTTTGTTCTTCGATCAGCATAACTTTTTTTTACCTACCTACCTTACCTGATGCCCTGTGTGATGATGAGTCCGGCCACGACGCAAGCTCGAAGCATCTAAGCACGATGTTGGCCAATCTGTAAGCACTTGATGTTGTAAAGAGACCAAGAGAGCAGATTGGCATGACTCCAGCAAAGCGCATGATTTATACCGACATATTGGTATCGGAACCAGTCACCGTTGATAACTTTTATTTCTTGCGAAGATGTCATTAATGTCAAGTCAAGGTATTGTGCTCTTTGCCCAAATCTTGCACCACCGTGAAATGACCCACAGTGGAAAGTTGTAGCTTCCCTCGATGGAAACCTAGGGGTCGATAGATCTTGCGGGAAAAAAATTGGTTCAATGCATCATCATTATTATTATGATTCTTGGGGAAAGGCGTGGTAGAACGGTACAAGGATATCCTCAGAGCCAGCAAGCTTGCTTTTAAGGTCCAGCGAAGAGTGCGAAATGTTGCTAGCTCTAAGGCACTTTTCGCTGAGTCAGCAAAAATCACGTGATCTTTCTTTTTGATTCTTACCAATCAGAGGCCGAGCTGGATTTTGGTAGGGAGCCTTTTTGCAATTTAAACCCTCGCTATATCCGGGGTTTCGTTAGTTACTCTACGCCCGCTAATTACGGGGAAATAGGCTATACGTAAAATCGCGATTTGTTAGTAGGCTACACGTAAATCTCGATATAATCGTACTTTCTAGTCCTATTCGGATATCTAGGTAGATACTATTATAAACCGCGAGTCTAAATATTATATAGATAGCCTTATACGAGTATATAGTAGCTATAGACCTTACTACCGCTATTTTCTTATATAATCCTTAGTAGGCGCGTCTACCTTATTCTAAAGCGCGTATTCTTCTATTCCTTCTTTTCTACTATACGGATTATATATAATCGTAGCTATAGGGCGTAAAAAAGGCAAAAAGGCGAAGAGGGTGTATGCTAAGCGGTTAACTAAGACAGAGAGGGCGGAAAGGGTAGTAGAACGCGTCGTTTCGAGGTACTATAAACTATAGGCTAAATTAGTTAATCTTAGTATACGAGAGGTATATAGGATTAAGAGGGCAACCGACCTATATTCGCGAATATACTAGCGATTAAGAGGCCGTCTATCGCTCCTATCGCGGCCGCCGACTAATACTAAGTTAATAGAGGCTTAAGAGCTAGCGCTAGCGGATTATTGTCGAAAGAGGGACGAAATAGGGATATTCTTACTAGTAGCGCTAATTAGCGTTATTGCTATAGACATACTAAAGAGAATGTCGCCTAATAAGGTTATACTACTATTCGGTAGTAACTAGGCTAAACGATTCCTAGCTTAGTATAACCTTAGCAAGGTAAAGTCTAAACCTATTAAGAAGTAGCGTAAGGAAGCCTATAACCCTTCGACGATAAGGGCGTAGTTTAATCGGTTTAAGGCGATAGTAGAGCGACTAGGTATAAAGCCGCGGAATATATAGAATTTCGACGAAACCGGTTTTCGGATTAGTATTAGTAGCAACGAATACGTAGTTACAATAGATACGAAGCGGCGCGCCTAGACTAAATGTAACACTAATTGTATATATATAACCGTAGTCGAGACCGTTAACGCGTATAGCGAGGTAATTAAATATTAATTAATTGTTAAAGGTATAATAGTTTAAGAGCGTTAGATACTAAAAGAAGGTAAGTCTATTGCCGAGACCGAGTCTATTGCCTAAGGCAATAATAACGTTACTTACTAACTATATCCTCGTTATTAGGCAAGGACAACTTCTTAATTACTATTAACGAGTCTAGTTATATAACGGACGATACTGCTATGCACTATATCTATTAGTTTAAGCGTAAGACGAGACCTAAGGACCTAAACGAATAGAGGGTGCTACTATGCGACAATTATAGCTCCTACTGCTTTAAGGAATTCGCGGCCTTCGCGAAGCGCTATAAAATTCAATTATAGGGCCTATAACTATACACTTCGCACTTTATATAGCCTCTCGACGTTATACTATTCTAAGTATATAAGTTAAAGCATAGACAAGCGGTCTTAGAGGCTACATACCGTAGTGTTAGTGAATTTAGTATTCCTAAGTTTATAGAAGCCCTTTTAGCTATTCGGGTAAAGACATTTACTAACTATAATATAAGGGCCGCATTCCGTAAGACAGGCTTGTTCCTAATTAATAGAGAGGTTCCTTATCGTTACATTCGAGATTAGTATAGCGCTATAGACTACAATTAGAACTAGCAGGTAATCGAGGGCGAATTAGCGTAGGAGGAAGCCCGATACGAAGAATCGCTTGTAATAGCAGATGCCGCTTAGCAGGAACACCTCGCATCGGTTAAGCGTAAACGTTCGCCTAACCCTAATATTGTCGATCTAGATAGGTAGTACCGCGCTAACAGTCGTTACTATTTAAGGGATCTCGAGAATATAATTGCTTAGGGCATGCTATCTTTACTACCTTAGCCGATCCGGACGCTAATACCCGAATTGCTATAATAGTTGCTAGTTACTACTACTAGCCCTCGTACGATCTAGGCATCTCGTAGTACTATACAAGCTCGTAAGGACTTCCGACGTCGCTATCTAAAGACTGTACTACTTAGTATCGATACTATATTATCCTTATTTAATCTATTCTCCTTATTACCTACAAAGTAAGTAGAAGCTATTTATAATATATTAGTCGATGCGGCTATTTACAAAGGTAAAGAATACAAGCGTAAATACAAGTCTATAAGCCTCGTTAAACGCGTAAGGAAGCGCTAGAAGGAGCAACTAAATAGGCTTATTCGAGCTAGTGCGATTAAGGCTTCTAAACTACGCTTATAACTCACTTAGCAAGACAAGGAAATAGCTAACAATTGCTACTAGAAGATGCTCCGTAAGGCTAAGTCCCTATATAACAAGGCACGCTAATATCGACTAAAGTATAGCGAGGCCTTTCGTATTGTATTTAACAACAATAGTAAGACTAAGTTTATAGACGTTATATTGCAGCCTATCGATAAGCTACTATAACGTACCTTCGACCTTCGGCTTCTTACTACTACTATTACTAACAACGACTCGGTAAAGAAGACCGGTAATCCGTACGCTAATATTATTAGCGAATACAAGCGATATACTTATACCTCCGACGGTAGCGATATTACCTATACGTAGAGCTAGGTATAGACACTATTACTGCCGAGCCGTACCTACGAACACGAAGAAGGTAACCTTCTAACCTAGACTAACGTTAAGTTAAAGCGGCGATTAAACGGCTTATTCGCGCAAGAGCCTAACACCCGACTAGACTAGTTATAATAAGATAAGACGCTACTTAATAAGGATACTATATATACTATAATTTAGCCTTATCTAGTATATCCTCGTCGCCGTTAAGAGTCTATATAGCGGAAGCGGTATTTCTACGAAGGTCCGAAGAAAACTAGTCGTTATAAGGGCTTAGTTGCTAGTAGTAAGAACGACCCTATTAAGCTAGAAGACATATAAGATAATAGCTATAGTAGTTAACTATTTACTAAAGAGGCGGCAGTGACATATAGGCTAACCTGCACAGTAATTAATTATATAGTCGATGCGAGGTACGCGCTAAGGCGATAAGAATAGGTATATTAACTATAATACGGTCGCAATTTGCTCGAAAACTACTGCTTCTTAACTATAATCGCACGCACTATCGATTTCCCATCTTATGCACTATACAATGTACGCTGGCGTCGAGATTTACGTGTGGCCTACTAACAAATCGCGATTTTACGTATAGCCGAAATCCCCGAGCGCAGGCGAGGGGTGAAGTGGCTGACGCAACCCCGGATACGTACCTTCCGAGCCGAGTCTGATTGTTATTTCGCACTCGCTCTAGACACCTTCTACAACTCGCTGGAATCATGATGAAAGGATGGAGGTTGGAGTCGTGCGGACCCAAGATTTGTTTGTCTGTCTTGCTAACTTGATGTATATTGGCGTGAAATGCGACACTTACTCTCGTTCTCGTCGCCCTTGCTATATACCTCAAGGCTTTGAGCAGTGAGTTCAGTGCATCGGGAGACATCATAGCATCGGGATGTTTGGTTTCAGTCTACAAACATTCATCATTGTGGCTTATTCAGAATTCTATAATGGGTCAGCGGCCGTTCGATGTGTGTTCGCTTGTCTGCAGCGCATTGATAGGTTGTTGGAGCATTGGTATACCTTTTCTTGATATACTCCGATGTCATGTTTGCGGCGCAGCCTTCGCACGCGTGATCCTTCAAGTTGCCAATTCAGGCAGTGCTCATGCTTTCCAATCTACGTACGTAAAGAGGCAACCCTCTACCAGAGTCTGGTGAAGTAGAAAGTCCTCCATGCATTGATCGAGCGATCTGCTTGCAGACTGGGGATTGTATAGGGCATGCTACAGTGATACTCACAGCGAGTGTTGTACTTGCAGTTTTGATTCTGCAACTGTGTTCAATGCATGACTTTGTCCTCGACACGTATCAGTCGGCCAGAAAAGTCCGTGATCAAGTGATGGTCCTGCCTCGTGGCCGGCGGAGCAGACTTGGCCTGTTCGGACGGCTTGAAGGTCGCATACTATTTCTACGATCTGCAAGTCCATTTCTCCCAGGCTCAAGGCGTTCTGATGTGACGCAGTAACTCGAGTGTAGACTTCAGCAGCCATGATGCAGCGAGCCATTATTGTTATGAGCATCGAAAATCATTGGAACCACGGCGTAAGCAGGCGTGCCTGATATGCCATGTATCATTGTCCATGCTGCATCTTCTTATTTTGCCACGACATGCGATCTGTGTCCGCGAAGTAGGGCTCTGTGAGAATACTTGTCGCGTCGACCAAACGCTGGTGCTGGACGGCGCCAAATTTGCACAAGACTCAATGGTCAACGTGCTTTTCGTCCACAGCATCATCCTCCGTCTTGCCATGCTCAGGTATCGTATCGAAGCGGTTTGGCGAAGACGGCTGCCACAGATCTCGACACCGCGAACAGGGTGGGTGGGAGAAGTAGATCGATGCCCAAGAATGGCAGGACGTGATGTGATTGTCGCTGTCAACACGGTGATCCAAGAAGCAGCCAGAATGTTGTGATCTGCAGATGTCATCTCGCATTCCTGGGTCTCCCGTCTCATGACGCTGCAGGACTATGTCCTTTCGCCGCCGAAAAAGCATTATCAGGAACTGTTTGCGTGTCAATGCTCAAGGACCGCTTCTATCCTATCCCGAGGGTGCACGTTACACGACGCCGCTGTTCTACAGCATTCCTGCAAGCATTGATATGCATGCATAGCATCGCCAGAACCGCGGCTGATCGGGCTGCTTTCCTCCAAGGACGCCAAGCATGGGATGACAGCTATAGCTCGACGAATCCAGAGAGTCGAGCATATCAGGCACGCAAAGATAGGAAAGACCCTGAGATCTCGACTCGGCTCCGTGCTCCACATCTTGGTTTAATTGCTGGCGGCAGTCTCGGGTATCGCAATATTAACCACGGCCTGTCTGCGGAAGAATTGGCAAGGGCTGTAAGATATTGAAGAACATGGCCCGGTCACTACTACTGCTTATTATTATTAGTGAGGGAAAGGCCGGCTGGTATGCCTCTTTCGGTGACTCGGTGACTCGGTGACCTCTTCCTTGGGAGGGAAAACGCACAGTAGGGGTCGTGGTACCTGCTTTGGTCCGCATCTTGCCCTGCTATGGAGTGGAGCTGGCGTGGATGAACAATAGGCGGATGGCTGGTTCCAGAGCGGACAGGCCTAAATCGTTCGGAGCTGGTTGCTATCTCAGCGGGTGGCTGTTCATACACCCCACGTCTCGCATAAGCCCTTGTCGGTTCAGCGTACTCCACACTGCGGTGCATATACAACAGCCGCACAGGGTCTCTGATCATTGGATGTCGTCGGCAGGTACCGGAGGCGTGTCTGTCTCAGGAGGCGCAAGCCAAGCTGCAATGCGGACGGGAGAAAGAGTGAAGAAGAAGCAGCTCATCAATGCTTGGCAATTTGGCATCATGGTGGAGAGCCGAGCGACAGCGACGGGCCAGCGTGTTGCCTCAACTCGTACGCCGTACGGTAGTGATAATAAAGCCGTGGTTTTGCACATTATTAGGCCCTGTATACTTCTGTAGATTATCGGCTTATTTCCTATAGATTATTAGCAATAATCTACAATCTATAGCTTCTTAAACACTATATACTTCTTAATCGTACGACTATTATAGATTGTAGGTTATCGTAAAGAGATTATTAGGAATACTAATTGCGGCAGTTATATGCGAATAACCTACTAAACACCTCGAGAGGTGCTTTTAGCCCCTAAACAATAGACTTCTCGTCGCTTCTAAAGTAGCTCTTCTTTCTAACTATTATTATATATCTAATATAGACTCTATCTAAGTCGCCGTAGTCGTCGTTCTTGTCGCCGGAGCGACCCTCGCCGCCTCGATCCCCCTTTTTTAACGAAATACGCATAGACGGTAGTACTAGCTATCTAGCAAGACCGAGACCCTTATAGAGCTAAATAAAGGTATAAAGGAGACCTTTCGAGTACTATATAGTTTAGAGTAGGATTGTTATAATATAACACGTCTTAGATAGCCGGTGCTACATAAGTTAATATAGGAGCTAAAGGAAGGCGGCGATTTAGATCCGTATAGCGCGATTAAGGTCTTAGTCGAGAAGTAGGTAGTTATATTCTTAGACTTCGTAGCGTATAACCTGTCTATAAGGCAGCTAAGAAAGGAATATTAGTACTCGTTTAGCACCTTTAAGTTAATTATTAAGCGAGTTAGCAAAGCGCTCTATAGGATAGCGGATAAATATATATCGTTACTAGAGGCAGACTTAATCTACGAGAAGCTAAAAGATCCTCTATTTAAGTACTTCTTAGGCGCGCTCGGCGCCCTTAATAGCACCTATATCTACGCTTAAATACTATACTAAGAACAGAGCGCCTAGCGTTATAGGAAGAATTTTATCGTATAGAATATAATAGCGGCGTACGACTTCGACTATAAGTTCTTATACGCGTTTATCGGTTACGAAGGCTCTACAAACGATAGAACAGTATTAGGTCGCGCCTTTAAGAGCGGTAGATTTAGCGTATTTAAAGGTCGATATTATCTCGCTAATAGTAGCTATTTACTACTCGATAAGCGCCTTCTAGTACTATACTAAAGAATAAGATATTATCTTCGTAAGCAGTACGCTTCTTCTCGGCGACTAGAGACAAAGGAAGAGCTATTTAACCTCCGCTACGCGTAGCTTCGTAACTATATAGAGCGGATATTTAGCATTATTAAGAAGCGCTTCGAAATCGTCGCTTAAGGTTTATACTAAGGTTATAAACTTATCGACTAGAAGCGTATCTTAATAGCCTATTTCGTACTCTATAACTTTATCCTTAGCTATAGCGGACAGCCTCTCGAGAGCGAGCCTAAGCTTACTAGAAGCAATAGTATAATTAGAAACCCCGACAGGTCCGCAAACGAGATATAAGGTAGTATTAAAAACGATATAATAATTAAGTTTCGTAATAAACTAGCGGAGGAAATGTAGTAGGACTATCTCGAGTATTTAGAGCAGAAACGGCTCGATTAGCGCCTATAGGAGTAGGGTAAAGTTTAGTTATTACCGGAGGCTATCTAGTAGGGGATATAGGGGGCGTTTTTAGTAAGGTTTCCGCTATTTCTTTCCTTCTAGCTATAGCAACGGTATATAGACTGCCTTTCTACGTCTCTATATCGATATCTCGAGGTAAGTTAACGTTATATTAGTGCGGTCTTAGTAGGGTAGGGTTTAGGATATAAAGAGTTTAGAACTTATACTTTATATAAAAGCTAGTTACGTACGATTCGTCGATATATAATAAAATACTAACAAAGTCGAATTAATTGCTAATATAGAGTTACTATATATATAAGTGCGTACCTCTCCGACCTTCTAAACTAAGAAATTAGACTCGGACTCGGATTAGCTAAATTTAACCTCTAACCTTTAGTCTATACTAACTCTTCTATAAACAACAACCTATCGCTAGCTCTATAGATACCCTAAACTAGGTAAAGGGGTAAAGGGCGACAGCTAGCTATACGTAGATATATCTAGATACTATCCCTATAGTCGAGGCATGCTATTAACCTCGTTTTAAAGCTCTACGAAGAAGGCTTCGAAGTCCGCTTGCCGTTTAGGTCGTATTATTAAAACGGCAATATTTGTACGGTATAGTACCTTTCTAACCTCCTTTGCTATATTATTCTTTATAGTAAACGGCTACTCCTTTAGCACTTCCGGATTAAACAGCCGCTTATATACTAGCTCTAAAGGATTCTTAACTCGTAGTATTAGCATAGAAGACCTAGCGTTAGACTTGTAAAGGAAATTAGCTAGTATGTCCTTTAGCGGATTAAACGCCTTCGTAATAATATCCTTATTAGCAGCGGCCTCGGCTGTCTAGCGGTAGTAGATACGCTTACCTTCTACCTTCGCCTTTAGAGACTTCTTCTTATTTATCTTCTACTTCTTCGCTACGCGCTTTACCTATCGTTTGTACTCGCTTAGCTAATCGTCGTCCTTAGATTCTTCGCCGCTATTGCTACTACTATCGCTCGAGTCTTTATCCTCTTCGTCCGACCCTCGACTATTTATTATATTAGTTAGCTTATCTTCCGCTAACGAAGCCGCCGTCTTAGCGCTATTACCTATCGCGATATCTACGCCTACGAGCGCCTCTATTTCTACCTTCTACGCTAGCTCCTACTCGAGAAAGATAGTATACTCTAGATATGCCTTATTATAAGTATTTTCGGCTTTAGCAGTCTCTTAAGGAGGCTGTCTATTCTAGCCGCTAATATAAGTAAATAGATAACCTAGAAACCCTATTCTCGCTTTATTATAGCCTATTTATTCTTAAGAGCTATATCTTTAAACTAGAGCTAAAACTTCTTACTTATTATCGCTATAATAGGCCGGAGGTCCTTTAACCGGAAGTTTCTACTATCGGTCTGCTTCGCCTTAATCTTAATTAACTAGTCGAGATAGAACTAGAGGTGCTTATTCGTATAGCGCTTAAGCTCTAGATACTTCGTCGCTTTTAAGGCTTTATTTTTCTTCGCTAGACGACGTTTACGCTTCGAAGCTATTATAAGAGCTTGAATTAAATAAATAAGAGGTAGACAAGGCAATCTATAGTGCTAGCAACGCGATAGGACACGTCCGCGGAAGAGCTAAGACTAACAACCTAATAGAGCCGCAATAACCTATAATCTACTATAAAACCGTTTACTTAATAACCGCGTAATCTACAGATTATAGCGACAGGTTATTAACCTATAATCTACAACCTACAATCTACAGAAGTATACAGGGCCTTATTGATGAGGGGTTTTAGCAGGCTTTCGTGTCGCGACCGAGTCGCTCCGTTATCCGTACGGTTCGCACAGGCGCCGCACATGGGCGATCTCCATAAAACGCAAGCGCCGACGATATGGAGGTTGAATTTTGCGGGGAAGCGCACGAGCTACCGAAGCCGAGTGCACCAAGATTGCGTGTTTGTGAGACACTGGTCGAGCACGGATCTCTCGATGGTCTGTCTGGTGCTGATGCGGTATATTGTGGGCGCCGTTACTCGCGTAGTCTTGTCTTGGTCAATCATCATGTTTGCTGCTTGGAAAGTTGACAAGCTAGCGCTGTGTTGCAACATGGGTCGACAAAGTTCTGCGAGTGCAATGTGCGTGAGAGTAGGTATTGCCTATCTCAGCGTGCTGATAGGTATGTTGAATCAACGCGGCCCAATAATTTGAGGATGCAGTAGCGGAAAGATACTCGATTCTACATTGGGCGTGGGGGTGTATACCAGTTCGAGAGGCTGGTCTGAGCCAACCTGGTCATGCTGCATGAACGCTGGGGCTCGGGGAGAAAAGTGGTGGAGACGATGCGCTGGTTAAGCGAGCTGAGGTGGCAAGAATGTTCACGCAACAACCACGGCTTGAGGCAACTAACTACATCAAGAAGTAGCTACTACTACACTGCTGATAAGGGCTGAGGAGATTTCAGATTTGTTGGGAGCGTTTCGGGCGGTAGGAGCATTTCCAGCACGGCCCACGTTCTCCAGACTCCAGCAGAGCCATGGTATGTGTTGTATGTATGACAGGGTAGAATAGGTTGCGCTCAGGCCCGAAGCGCTTCAGTCCATTGCAGTCAGCAATGTTCCGAGAAGCACTGACGTCGAGGCTTTAGGTAGGAGGAAAATGATGATGCACTGTAGAGGAGGTCTGTGCTCGACACACAGGAATGATGAAGGTGAGCCAATGTTTCTGCAGTAGGCTGCGTAGCTCATGTCATGCGAGACGTCGGCGTGGTGACAGATTGAGCGGCGTGACGTGCGAGGTGCTAGAGTAGGCGAGATTTTGCAGGCCAATAATTGCGTGCTGGAACAGAACAGCAAACAGGCGGCAAGGCCGGAAGAGTCATCTGATGGGTGAGGTCAGGTTGATGATCAGGCAAACACTGCCAAACAAAGAATGGGCGAACAGGGCGGTTCTCTGGAAATTGGCCGGACTGAGCGGCGCCGCGTGCTGCCGGCCTGGGGATTAGAGCGACAGGATTTGGTGAGGGTGCGAGGTGAAAGTTGCCGTGAAACGTGTGGGAGGCTGAGCCTGGCGCTTCGGGCCTGCAGTGCAGTCTGCAGGCCGTGCATCGCTCAGCAGTCGTGGCACGCTCTCGCGATGGCCGTGCTGCGATTTCGGGCACAGTGCACGGCGCACCAAGGAGGCCGCAGAGGCTCGTCGTTTCAGTGCACCAGGTGCACCTGGGCAAGCAGGACAGGACAGCAGCAGGCGTCGGCGCGTCGCAAGGTGTAGGTGTAGGTGTAGCCAGGCAGCGAAGGCAGGCAGGGTCAGAAGACAGAAGGTCAGACGCCAGCCCAGCCCAGCGGCCCCAGCCCAGCCCAGCCCAGCCCAGCAGGCCTTTCGGTTGGCGCGGCCAAAAGTGTTGGGCGCAGTGCCGAGCCGAGGGCGACAAAGGCAAAGGCAAAGGCGCAAAGGCCCGGGCTCCTGCTCCCAGCACTATCGGCGCTGAGCATGGGAAGTGTCGATGCTTGCGCTTGCCATTGTTACGACTGGCGGCCTGTGGTGCACGAGGCACTTTGGGACCCACTTCTCTGCTGGTCGTGCTTGATATTGATTGGCACGCCATCCACGTCGTGCGGTCGTGCCTGAGCGCTTTGCATTCGACGCCTTCATCGCAGCAGTAACCTCCGCTTTCCTTCGCGCCTTCATATACCTCCCGTTCGCCTTCGCCCTTGCCCTCACCCTCGCCGCCGCGTCCACTTCATGCATACATAATCTTCTTCAATCCATTCCATACTCGCACACGCCTGGAACATCTTCAGATTCTTCACCCACTGCCGCCAAGCCTCCCTCTCACCATCATACCACGCGGTCATTGCGCCATTGTCCGTGCGCACCTGTGAATCACCGCCGTCTTTAAAACACTTCCTCTGCTGCTCTCTCGCTGACCTGACCTACTCAATCCTTCCGACAACCATTCCGCCTTTGTCGACTGCTGCACCGTCGACACTGCCTTATCACACATCACACACCTGCTCCCTACCATGGATTGCTTCGCAGACTTCTGCCTCCACTGTGACCGAGATTCTCCCGATGGACCATACTGTTCTCAGCAATGCAAGCTGGCCGACCTCGAGCCATCCACCCCGAGCTCGCCGACTTGTCCCACTTCGTCAAGTGCCGAGCGCAACTGGACATCACGCCAGTACTACCAGCGAAAGACACCTTCGTACAGTACTCCATCAACAAGCGGTCGACCCCAGTCAGGCTACTTCATGTGGACACCACCGCAGCAGGCGGATGATCGATCCTTGACCCCATCATCGTCAAGAACGTCTCTCTCATCAACGTCGTCCACGAGCACAGCGTCAGGCAATTACTCGCAGCACACGAAAGCTCAGCTCAACGACTATTTCAGCTCCTTCGACCAGGCCAAAGCTGCTAAACGAAGATCGAGCCTCAGATAGACCACCATACTTTCTTCTTGACTCGACAAACTTCTCAATGTCAGACCCTGTGGAAGTCAATTGACTCCTGTGCTATCTTTCGACTTTTCCACTACCGCATGTCCTACTTTCCGCACCGCAACCAGGAGCTTTGAGATCACAGAACAGAGGCCGGGCGAGGTGTCTTTTCACGGCTGTACTACTAAAAGCATTTGAGAGGGCGTCTTTGACGACCATGTAGCTGGGAGCAAGAACTTTTTTTGATCTTCGGTGTTCAGGAATGACATGGCCGGCGAGCCAATGAGCATGGATGGAATGTTGTTTCAGTGTTTGGGTTGAGGGTCCAATGTGAGGGTTCAGTCACTACTCTTGTCGATGTTTGTTCAGCATGGAGGGGACCCTTGCAACGCTTGGGACCGACACACAAGTGTCACTGCGCAGCGGAGACGCGACGTAGCTTTCCGGAACGGAGGAAAGAAGGGATGGTAGAGGCGGAAGTTTCAGGTGCCTCTCCATTATTGTGCCACATGTCTCCAGTGAAGGCTTACCTTCCGGAGCATGTCGCCAGCCTCGCTTGAGGCTTACCAGTTCACCACAACTGGTACTGGCATAGCAGGTCAACAAGAATTGAATGACCTTGCTGCACTGTTGTCTCTCATGATGATGATCTGATGTCCGGATTCCATGCCACTCTGAACTATATCGCGGCCACAACATCCATGCTGACGGTTGGTTGCCGAGATAGTCGCTCGAGATAGTCGCTCGAGAAGTACGATGACCTAATAAGCGCTGCATGCTCCCGCCGAATGCCAGAGCACTGCATTAGGCAGGATGAACTAGCTCTGTCCTCCCAAATGAGGAACATGATTGTCGTCGATGCGACGATACTGCTACTCACCGTCCCCGCTTTTCCTTCCAACTACAGTACTACAACACGGAGCTATGATGAACTTGCCTATCTATCATCGATCTGCTTCATCTAGCGTCTCTACCACGACTCAACTCTTTCTACGAAGCACGAAAGACGTAAAGTATTACATACGACCAAACTTCCCCACTTTTCTTCGACGAGAGCTTCAGCTTCTTGTGTCAGAACACGTACCCACATCTCAAAAGGAGGTACAAGGTGCATAACATCTCCTTGGTACTGGCTGGCACTTCATGAATCGTTGGTGGTGGGTCGCCGGTCGTGCATGATGAATAAGCCAAAAAAAAAGATCATCCCCCCGGACTCCGACAACGACAACGACCCCCGTGACTTTTTTTTCTTCTTCTTCTTCAGCAGAACATGACATGAATTATGAATGGCAGCACAGTTGATGAGAATCCGATTCTGATGAGACAAGGAATGCGTGCGGAGCCGGGGATTCGTGTTACGGAGCCAATGAACGAGGGAAGAGAAATTGAAAATCTTTTACATATACGTCCTTGGATATATACCTATTCTTATAGAATTTCTCAACGTGGCAGGCAGCAGGCGGTCGCCGGTCTGAGATGTTGTTGTTGTTTTGACGTAATGACGTTGTTGCCGTGAAGGTTCGAGGAAGGGTTCCGTAAGCAACACGGCAATGCTGTGAATGGTCGAGGGCTTTTTCAGAGTTGGTGAAATCCTGGTTTGCTACGTGGAAGAATATGAATGGGGGGGGGATGGTGCAAACTTCAAAGCTTTTTCGAAACATGGTCCCTGTCATCAACCTCGAGGAAGGGACTGGATCTGAATCTTTTGGTTTTTTTGGTTTGTTTGTTGCAGGGAGGCTACCTAGGTCCGCAAGAGCCGCTTTGTGGAAATATTCCTTCACTCACCTATAAGAATGTGCCTGTCCTGTCCGTTGCCTGTTTTGGATACATACCTTGGGATCCACATTCTCCTGTTTTTAAGAGTTGGTTGACTAGAGAGGGAAAGAGTTTATACTTTCTCACGCCCTTCTTGCGTTTCTCGGATTCGTCTCGCAGGGGCGAGTCTACTTTCGAGGCCATCAACGGTTTCCTGAATCCTAACGGACGCATAGAAGACGCCTTCGATTGGTAGTTACAGCATCCTTACTGCTGAGGTGCTTTGAAACAGTGTCCGTGCGTGTTGGACGGAAGTTGTCCGGAAGTTGTGATGAACAACGAAGACCGATGATGTGTCTTTTTACAAGGTAACTACCAGAACGCAGCACTGACGAACGGCGTTCCACCGATCATGTTTGATGTTTTCAATCAAAGCTTGATCATACTCTTCCAATTGTAGAACCCAACAGTAATCTCAGACTCATTCTGCCAGCTCGCCATTGGTACGAAGGAGAACATGTTGGCCACAACGTGGTCTAGAGTCTAGACCTCATGCTACAAATGCAAAGGTCCTGAACCAGATGGCTGTCATGTATTCGTAAGCCTATGAAATTTTCCTAGCTTCCAATCAATACCTGGTGCTTACTTACCTCAAACACCCGCTCCCTATGCTCCCCGGGCTCTAATACAATACTTACCATGAAAGAAAGCTAGGAAGCAAGCCATGCAAACGAGCCAATTGGCACCCATGCCTCTGAGAAGAGGAAACTTGAAAGTCATGGTGTCACGACTTTCTTCATGTTGAAGGTGATGAGTCATGACTTTTCGCTTAGTATGGTTCGGTATCAAAGACACCACCATACCCAGTGATTGATAATGGATGACTACGAGGAACAGTACGAGTGATCCTACCAAATTTCCCGGAGAAAGTTCTCGTTTAGTGCAGAAGCATTTTCCAGATAGAGTGTCGTCGTTGAAGCAGAATGAGCCGGTTGCACAGATCTGTCCCGGTGACAACAACCTTCGTGATTCGTGAGGCCGAACGGGACGACCTACATGTAAGGAATTCTAGTCAGCCTGATATCTTGGGCTCCGCCGGATTTGTTCACTCACTACCTTAGCGCTGCGATTGTGCGGTTCAATGCTGGTGCGAATTCTTGATAGCAAGGTGCCCATTGCGCTGTTGGTACTGCAATGTGGGAAGAACTGCGCAAGCGAGTGAGAGGAGCATGTCAGCAACACTGAGCTGATGGAAATCTTGTCCCATCTCTTGTTGGCTTTAGGGACGCCTGCTCTGCCCGCAGAGCTCGATCGTCTCTTCTGGCTTGTAGGCAGCACACTGGCGACGCGGTCCGAAATCATTTCCAATTCTGGCAGGAAGCAGCAGCTTCTCCAGCTTCCTTTTCAGCATATCTCCAACACCAATGCAAGGCGCGTGTGTAGAAGGATCGATGCAAGCAGATGGAGATACTGTGAACCATGCTTCAGATGAAGAGCAGTAAGGGACGATGTTCACGATGGCGCTGAGATGGTTTCTCAAATACCACCACTGTCCAGGCAACAGGCTCTCTCTCTCATTATTGTCAGAGGTTAGCAAGAGCCTATCTCGAGACCAGACGAGAATGTTAGCGATTCCTACCTTTATATTCTTACCTGCGTTTTATTATTAGACAATTTGCCTTTACGGAACACAGCGGTCCGCGTCCCGTATATAGACTACTCCGTAGCAGGCTTAGATAAAAACTATACGGAGCTAAGCAAATTTTTCTACTAATTAGGGCGGGGAATATAGGAATCGCTATTCTCGTCTAGGCCGTTTCTATCGGGATTTCGACTTCCTATATTAAACATTTATATAGGAGAATCGCAAAACCCTAGTTTTAATACTAGAACGACTATTTCCTATAGTAAAAATTTCTCTCTATAGCGGGAATACCTCTCTTCGTATTACTATCTTTTTCCCGAAGTTTCCTAGATACGAAATCGGGTATAAATATATCGTCGTCGTCGTAGTGCCTACGTCGCGATATACGCTAGGTAGATACGACTATATTATCGCGCATTTCTATTACGACTATACCCTCTACGGCTTTCTAGCCTACTTCCGTAGGACTATCTCTATCCTCTACTATAGATAGATATATATCTAGTCGCTCTCCTTCTAGTCTATCTGCCTCCTCCGATCTTTCTAGTATTCTATTTTATAAGTATTTAGGCAACGGATCTACCGAAGAGAAGGACCTAGCGGATCGCCTATAACTAGAAGTAGATAGCATTATAGATAGTAGTAGCGTTAGTAGTAGCGATAACGAGTCGACCCGCTACGTAACTTGCTAGCCCCGCGCTCGTCGCGATAAAAGACAGCGCTATAAAGAAGTAATACGTAAGATACGGGAAAACAACCTTACTATAGGGAAGGTCGTACGGTACTAGGCTAGTAAACTATAGAGTAAGTCCTATACGTATCGCGTCGGCTAGCTCTCTATTATATTAAATACGGAGCTACGCAAATCGAAGTAGGTTAAGTTGTCTAGTAGTAAGAATAGTAATATTATTCGTAAACTCGATTACCTAATTAGAAAGAGCTTGTATAGGAAATAGCGGAGGACTCTTCGATCCGCTATAGAGGTATCCGAGGCCGTAGCGGGCGACTAGGCCGCTACGCTACTCGAACCTATTAATAGATTCGATAATCAATTCTCCGTCTAGTAGTTTAAAGATATATATAAGGTTATCCGGGATGTTACTCTAGTATAGCATTAATTTGCCCGTAGCGTATTAGTTAGGTAGCGTAATAAAGAGCCGGATAATCTCGATATACGAATATTTACCCTTACTACCTTTATCCTCTATACTCGCTCTCGGAACAAATCTAATTAGTTTGTAAAGGCATTTAGTCGGTACCTCCTATTAAATAGCGTAAAGCAGAGGGCATTAGATGTCCTATCGGGGATTAGTTTAATCGCTACGTATATAGTACTATACCGTAAGGAGAAGCTTTCTAGGAGCGAGTAGAAGGTAGTTATTTAATCGCATTATAGTTAACTCGTGCTTATTCTATATAGGAAAGGCTCGTCTAGTTAGCGTATAATATTATATAGTATATAGTATACGACAATATTAATTTCTAGGATACAGTTCGGGATTAGACTATATCTAATTAGTCGGTTATACGCAATCTTACTACGGCGCTGCTAGTGCGCTTTACTCCGTATATTCGCTATCCCGATACTAGCCTACGTATTAACGATTTTAAGGCAGATACGCGACTAGACGCTACGGATATCTATAATGCCCCTACGCTTAGAGAAGATAAATAGTCTCGGAAATTGTCGATATATTATATATATGCGGCGATTATAAGCATCTTCGAAAATAAGCTCGTAACCGTAGTCGAGGACCCTCGGGTTAAGTCGATTACGTAGTAGCTAGGACTATATCCGCTACGGGCCTCTAAAACCGAATTCTACCCGCTTAGTGCGATTTACTATAGCGAGAGTACTATCGATAGGAACGCCGCGGTATAAGAGGACATTATACTATACAAGCTGCGCCTTAACCTAGTCGTAGACTTCCTTATACGGTTGTAGCTTTTCTACGGAGATTAATAGTCGGTATAGCGTATACGGAGCAACAAAGGTGAAAATGCTAAAAGTATAAGGCTATTCGAGCGGCGGGATTAGATAATACCCGTTACGGGACTCTTCTATACCGCTATAAACCTCTATTATATACTAGTTCGCCTTTTCTAGAGTATTAGTTAGGATACTAGGTCGGAACACAGCCTTTTCTAGGACAAGTAGGCATTTAGTATAAAAGGATTAACCGAGAAAAAACTAAAATACTAGATACTACGTCCTGTTGCGCTTTATAGGTACTCCGCAAGGATTATCGCCTTATTCGTTAAGCAGCTATACTATAGCGAATATTTCCCTACGGATTTACCTCCTAATTTTAGTAAGCTAAGGGCGGTTGTACCTACTATAGCAGGTCTTACTACGGATAAATATCTTTAGTTCTTAGCAGCTATATATAATAGCTACTTGCGGCCTTTAGTATAGCTAGAAAGAGAATAGGAACGGGTATATAGTACACCTAGGACAAAGCTACTCTTACCGTAGTAGATGCGCCGGACTCCGCTACGGTTAGAGCCTATCCCGTAAGCATAGCCTAGAATCCGCGATCCTACCTAGACTATACTTTATCGGCGACTCTATATAACCGAGCTCTAGTTAACTCTCCGATATACGACTCGGAATATAGATATTAGTTATATTAAACGTCTCTTGCCGTAGCTCGTAGTAGTATTTTTCGGAGCTAGATAATATAACTACGAGCGCGAGATGCTATATCTAATTTAGCTACTTAAGGGCGTATCTCTATATCTCCGCAGCGCGATTCTAGCCGGCGGCGTCGTAAATATAATAGGTAGGCCCGGGAAAGGGATCGCGGTAGACGAATTACTCGAACTAATTAATTTGCGGTATAAAAATAATATACGAAATTTTAAGAATTCGACGCATAATATAGTAGAAACATTTAATCGTGTTTTATATACTACTTTCGCTATAATACAAGTAAATAATGCTTTCGAGGACGAATTCGGGATCCGGAATACTACTAATTATTCCTATAAGGATACAACTTACGAAATTTAGGGGCTCTCCGCTCGACTCTTTGCTATATACCGTAGCGTAGGCGATCGGTACCGCAGCGTAGATAATCCTCCTATTATACCTAACCCGTACTAAGCTAGTATTAATAAAATCTATAAGGAAGTGTAGGATTTCAATGCAAAATATCTACGTAAAGGCGTATCTATAGCCGTAGTACCCGATACGGATTTAGATATTTACGATGCGGGACTAGATACGGATTAAAATATAATGTTTGAAAATGTCGAAGATATAATACTAGATATATTAGACCTACTAACAGTTTAATTATATAACGTCTATTTTAGGAAGTTTTACGCAAAGTTCTAATGTTTACTTCGACTTTAGCGGTTGTTTTTTTTTACTATACTACTATTATACTCCCGAATCCGTACCCTATATCCGAAAACTCGAACGAACTAGAAGGACGGACATTCGAATAAGAGCTACGGAAGTACTTTAGGCCGCCGCGGATAAGAGAGTAGTAGTAGAATGCCTTCTATAATTAGATTTATAGTATCTAATAGCTCTACTCGGCCCTCGTATCGTATTATATAACAAGAACAATACTAATACTACTCGAGAAACACTATCTATTCTGTCGTACCGATACTAAAAGACCTAGAGCCGGTAAAATATTAGAGAAGAAGTAACCTATAGAAGCAAAGAAAGTCCGTAGCGGGCTAGCCCTCGCCCGTATCTACTCTACATTCTTACTATAATACTACTCGCGAGCTACCTTAGGACTAATAGTACGTAAGTAACGGCGTACTTCTACCTTAACCTCTTCGTCGATAACGATATTAGCTAGTAGGAGCGATAGGTAGAGAGTGCGGCTCTTAGATAGGCCGTTATAACTAGCGTAGTAGACCGAGCGGCCGTTAGCGTATATCGTGCCCTATACCTGTCCGCTATTCGTATCGCGCTCCTTATTTAGGCCCTTAAGGAGCTCCTTAAGGACGTCGCCGGATCCGAGGTAGAACTTCTCGATAATACTACGGAGTTTATATACGTACTCGCGCTACTTCTTTTCCTATACCTTCGGGTCCTTCTTAGCTAATCTACGTAGCGTTTCTAAGACATTAAAGGTACGATTAAAGATAACTTTATTAAATTAGAAGCTCCTACCTATTCGCTCCTAGATAGCCTATCTAGTCGACTACTATAGTAGCTAGTCGCAGGTCCGCTTCGCTTGCCCGCTATAGTACCGATTATATGTCTGCTATTGCGCACCTATACCGTCCTTACTATATATAGTCTTAGCTT